AGGTAAGGAATGTTAAAATTACTTTAATACGTCACAAGTTTCAAAAAATTAACACCAAACGTAATTATATATTTTAATATTATTTTCGCATATTTTAAAAATATATTTAAAAAGTGAAAATAAGTATAATATAAAATTTTGCTGTTTAAACAATATTTTTTGTTTCATTATATGAAAGAAAGAAGAACGATGAACTTAAATTTAAAGATAAACTATTCTTATAATGAAATATTCCAATCGACTTATTCTTATAAATTATATAAGATGAAAATAAATAAAATATTTACCATATCTGTGATCATTCAACAACATAAAAGCTTCTTTTCACAAAATCTTACAACAGTTAAAATAACTTTAGTTAGGGCAACTCGCCTATTCAATTCTGAAACTATCATATGTACTTACCAATAAAACAAATCATTTGATACTAGCGCTTGCCCGTGACCTCGTCCACGTTGTCTTGAATATATGTTCATAGAGAAATAAGTAATGTGTGCTTAATATACCACATAGATTTGTATGCTAACAAACCGTCGTTATATTTTATCGTCTAATAACATCATGGTAGACAACTGTTTTGATATATCCCGAGTAAAATATATTATTATATCTCGTTTCTGACCTATATGTTATTCTAATTTACTAAGCTATTTTATATGAAAATCCGTTAAATATATTTTTTGAGAAAAAGTAAAAAACATCAAACATACATACATACTAACAGTCGCATTCATGATATAACTAGAATAGAAAGTATTTTATATATATCATAAAATCATTCATACATTCATTAATGACAATTAAAATTTTAATGTCAAATGTAATAGAAGTATGTATACGCAACCCTTTATTCGTTTCGACCATGTTAAAAAAAAGTAACACAAAATTTCCGAAACTTTATCAGCACATTTCTAGTTTCAAATTCCTAGTAGAGATCAGTGCTTAGTACGCCACTATGACATCAGCTATTATGTTGTTACTGGAAAAGTTTGTGATGATTTACTGCTATTTTCATTAACGTACACTGTTCTTCATATGGTACAAATTATAGTTTCAATTTCGGTATGAAGACATGTGTTTCATGAAAAAGTTTGTTATTATTAGATACGTATATCATAACTAAAAATTAAAAACAAATAACACAGGAAATACTTCTATATATTTTTACTCTTTAATAACATTTTCGAATTACATCGGACCATACTACGACGCTGGTTATAAAAACAGAAATTTTATAAGCAGGAATTGTTCGAATATAAAGAGCCAGCGAAAAGCTTGTTGACTTTGGGTTTAAAAATGTTGTTCCAGTATAAACGATGTAAAAAAGTAACATTATTAAAAAAAAGGTGGTGAAATAAATTATAATTACAAAATAGCATAAAATTTAAAACATGGACGTACATTTCGAAATGTCTGTCTTTGGTTTGATTTGAGATTTAAATAATTAAATAATCAAAGTGTATTAATAAAATTGTAATTTCACAGATGTTTTACATATTTTGTATGCTCTGCATTTCATTGTTTAAGATAACCTGTGATTTCATGAGAAGACCTTTTTGTAATATTAACTCAAACATTTTGCGATCAACTACACTAACAATAATATTGCAGGGACCTAATTATAAATAATGTTTATAAAAAGCCAATAGAATCATTTAACCTTTAATTTAAAATAAGAGAGAAAAAATCGGACAGAATTGTATACAAAACTTAAATGAAACAATGAACTTGCAAAACACAAAAATCGCAAATACCTGTTGCATATTAGTTTTCAATTTTGGCTACATAAAAAAACTTTACAATAAATAAGGATAAATAACATTAAATAAAGACCATATAAAGTTTAATGAGGATTTAAAATAAATAGCATTGATAAAACCGTCTATATTCCTTAGATACTATATATCATTATTTCACTTTAAAATCTTTATAGGTATATAAAAATGAATTGCTGTTCCTTGGTCTCACTAAAACTGAACGGATTTATATTATCATAGTCTTGAAATGTTTGTGGAGGTTCAGGGAAGGTTTAAAAGTTAAAAAAAAATTAATCATTTCCGGGAAAACCCTAAAAACAACCCTTTTCTATTTCCCATACAAACGTTTTCTTTCACATTAGATTTGACAACTAACTAATATGTCAATCATTCTGTTCGATTTAAACAGGAAAAACCTGATTATTTATGGCCTCTAAGACGAAATACAGTCCGCCCGGTCAGTTATACATATATCACTAATAACGAAATTACCGCGGACGAAGTCGCGGGCAAAAATTAGTTTGAAATAAAATTTATACAAGTGAAATGTGTATATTCTGTATTAAAAATGTTTAGGTATAAGTTAAACCAAGTCGGTACCATTATTTTGAATGTACCAATAACACAGACCTCATACGTTTTAGGCCCCAGTTTACGTAACCTAGAATGTGCGAATTACTCCGAACCAGACCATACTGTATGAAGAATAGTCAATATCAGAGATTTGTTATTTGATTTAAGTGTAACGCCCAGCTTTTTCAGTATTGGTTTTTTGTATTTCATTTTTATTTCCCACATTTTTCGCGGTACCTCTAAAAGGAAAAACGAAAATTAAGTAAACAGGAAATTCTAGTTAAAACGTGAAAAAAAACATATTATAAACTTTATATTTACAAAAAATATTAAAAATGTGTTTTTAATAACATTAATGAAGGCGATTTAATTAATGTAAATAGACAAGTAGATATGATTAGCACACCCTTTTAAGCTACTGCAAAGCTTTTATCGCTTACTTGTATATAGAGACGGTAGTAAAATTTAAACTTGCTAAGAAAAAATACTACATAAATAAATAATTATAATTAGATGAGTAGATAAAAAAAATATTAATATCCGTAAGGGTTAAGTCATTAAAATAGAATGAAACAAATACTTATATTTGTAGAAATCCAAAATAAGCTAAATATTTTTTGTAAACTGAAATGTACAGTTTTTATAATAAAGAAGCACTTTCAAAATGAAATACTTCATTGAAGTAATAATTCGCAGCCGCGTTTCATCTTCACACTCAGACAGATTGTCATGTACCAAACTCAATAACGTCGGTTCTCAGATGCTTTGTAAACATAACAATATATACATATATAATAATAATTATTATTATTTTACAATTTACAGCTCGGGTTGTGGAATTAGAGGCAGACTTCGTAATTGTATATTCTAGACAAATAATCATGTGTCTGTTTCATTATACATACTTATAGTTTTTCACTCGTCCATTCAATATATAATATTTAAATATTTGTTTTAATATTAAAACGACAATAAAATCCAACGTCGATATATTAGATACTCCAAGTTTTATTATTTGAAACGTTTAAGTCAACCTGTTACAAAATGTCAGTGTTCATTCATGTGCAAACATTTTGCCAAATCTGAATAATGTCTAGTCAACGGAATAAGCTAACGTCACCCGAAAAGGATTTGAGAAATTTTATAAAAGAGCAAAAGATTTCACACGATGTTAATATGCATGCTTGCATGATTCTTTTTTAATAAAAAGATCTTGGATACACTGGAGATTTATATCTGGGACACTATGATTTTAAAGCATTTTTTGATATATTGATAGTTATGATAGAAAAGTTTTAGTACGGCTTTAGTAACGCCGCTTAGCGCTTCGGAATAGTTGCAAATTGTTGTTTGAATTCAAATATTTTTATCAATAATTTTATGAACAATGCAGTTTATAATATAAAAAATAGAAAATACTTTTTTCTATAAATTTGTGTAAAAAAAAATGAAATTTCTTTCATTGTTAACCCATAGTTAAAACGAATAACTAATTTCACTGTGATCACAGTAAAGCCAAGTATGATATATACAAGTCACGCATTTCCCGAGCAAAAGCCATCTATCTGAATTGCAAATTAAAGTAAGTTTGTCTCAGCTAGCTGAAAATGTCAACTATCGGTGCGCTTTCAAGAGACGAAATGAGCGCATATTGTGTAACTTTCAGAGAGAATACTCAAGTCTCGGTATTAAATTATTATAAATGCATTTCATTAACACTATTTAAAATATCATATAGGATTTTCTAAATATAAATTTTAAGAGTTTTCCAAACGATGACTTATATGTTCAGAACAATATTACATAATTCACTATTTTATTTCTTCTGCCTTGCTATTCTTATATCTTAACTAGATAATTGTAATTTTATATTAAGTATACCTACTATTTAATTGAACCTGATAATGGACTTTAAAACTTGTTTCCTGCATGTAATTGTCTTGTCATGCTTAGAGATTGTCATCATTTTGTCAACGAGATACCTTGACACAAACATATTGCAATATATGTATCTATTTGTACACATACGTATATACATATCGCCGAGGATAGTGCAAAACCGAGTGAATATAACTCCGCGTATCTGCATTTTAAGAAAATTATAATCAGAAGAAAGTTTAAGCTTATATATTTTTTAAATTACGGGTTTTAAGGTATTTTTTTTCACAATTAGTAATTATTTAATGTTTGATTTAACTGTCCCCGGCAATACATACATATATAAACAATACAATACATCACTTATTTGAAACATGTTCAAGCGTCATGTTGCTCAATTAATTGATTATTTCAACTCTTTCATCCCAATTTACTAATTGAATGTGCACAATATATCACCCATTTGTCAAATTTTGTTGTTACGGAGAAAGTTATTTAGTTTTTACCAAATTTATAATACCCTATCTAGAAAATACTAATACACCAATTAGAAGTGTTGAAACAATACCCTTAATTCCTTTCCATTTTTATGAGTGCAATGCAACTTTTCAATATTATTTTAATAAATTTTCTTATTTTATAGTAGCAGAGCAATTAAAATTTTGTAATAAAAGGGATGATTAAAACAAAACATATTGGTATAAAATTTTTATTGCTATTTTATGAAAAACTTAACTGCCATAAATCAAATTACAAGTGCGTAGTTCTGATCAAGGAGTAAATAATTATATCCTAAGTAAGAGTTAACATCTGTGAATGTTTCGTGATGTGCATCCGTTCGTGACGTGTATTAGGCTCGCTGCGCGCCTTTAGTTTGCAACGCAACAATTGCAGGACGTTCTGCCACAAACGCGTCTGTTCCTCGACCGCACCTTGCTTTGAACTTATCTCTCTTTGTTCCTACATACATAAATAAATAAGTAAATATATTTATATTAATACATTGTTAATGAAAATAAAGTTATTCTGAAAGTCTCTTGGTATAAAAATGGCTTTAATTCGGGTTCCCAACATATCGAGTGCACCAGTAAGTCCTTGCTACTAACCAACTTCTATAATATAAAGTATGTTATAGAAGTTGATTAAGATATACTATATTATTATCGTTTTAATACGTAACTAAAGTAACTGTTAGAATACTCAAAACCAGTTACATGCATTTTATACTACTATAGTTCCAAAAACACACGTAAAGGTTTTTCTAAATAAATCAAATATTACTTTAAATAAATTTTTAATCAATTGTGACCATAGCGTACTTTTAAAGACATGCCCCTTAATATTTAACATAAATTTATCCAAAATATTTACTCAATAATAATATACAAGAAATGATATATAAACGTATATTATTAAAAAACTTTCAAGACGACCACAATACTCACAACTTCTAAATTCCTAACAATCTCTTCGAGCTCCGCAACCCTTTTCTTCAGAGCCTCCATTTTGGACGGGGTCCTCGGAGATTGCATTGAGTTTTTCATCTCAAACATAACAACTTCTTGCAAACTTTCAGCCTTTGTTATTTTTTGTCTTAAGTTTTTCCATTCATCTTCTTTACGGTTTAACAAATCAGTCAATTCTTTAACTTGGCTCTTTAAAGGCTCCATTTGGGAAGAAATATTAATCGACGTAGCTTCATAAACTCTTTTTTTCTGTTCGTATTGAGTCTGTATTTCTTGGAATTCTTGTTTGATCGGTTTAACCTCATCAGCTAATGGTTGTATTTCTTGACGAACCATTGACAACTTTTGAGCCGTCTGGGCAACGAGCTGTATGTAATTTGAACATAAATTTTAAGACTTATATAAACTTAATGGGTTACCTGTTATAGTAAATTTTTACGAAGATAAAAATTCAAATTAATCGGAATCATATTTTCTGGTGCAACTCATTCTTAATCATAAAGACTTTTACATTTTTAATTAAATGATACACGCATAATGTATTTTAATATTTTAACATCTAAACTGTGAAATAATTTTATTTATTAACTTACAAAAAAGTCAGATAATTTATAAGTTTATATTTTCTATAAAGTTAAATATTTTAATACTGTAATCTTTAATACGAGTATTACTAAGAATTTAAAACTTTGATTCAGATTAATGTATATAAATAAAGTTGGACTTTAGCGCTTTTAGCAAACCTAATCATAACTTATTTATTAAAGCCATTGAAAAACAGAAATTGTTTTTGACACCTGAGAAACTTCATGAAAAGATTTTTTTGTTAAATCCGTAGATTTTCTCTTTATTCCCTTCAACGATGTCATCGTCGTCAATTTTCATTTTCTTGTGATTGACGAGAGCCAATTCCACCGTGGGATCCTTCGTACATAATATTTGTAGAGTTCTGGACAATATCCCCGCTTCTACCTACATTATAATAAATAGAAAAAAAAAATGAAAAAAATTCTTGACATTCAAAAGGTACGAATAAAAATTAAATGCAAACCTTGAAAGTTGATAGATTTGCCCTTTGCCTTTTATAGAGGGTACTTTTAGTGCGAAGAGAATTGACGTATTTTTTCAGCTCCTCTCCTCTTAGCACCATATCGCCCAGCAATTGTTTTACCTAAAATAATTCAAACAGAGCACAAAATAAATGGACATGACATTTCTTCTTATCCTATATTAAAAAAAAAAGCATTTAACAAGGCAGATGAAATCCTACTAAAAGGCAATTCTGGGTTAAAACAAATGAAACGAATCAAACAGGATTACAGATATCCGTTATCTCAATACCCAATCCAGATTAAAGATTCCATTCAACATCATCGTGAAAGGCAATAGTAAAAAGAAATTATCGATGGCGGATCTCTCGACGGTTCGACATAATGACCGATTACTTGAAATGGGAAAAATATCTCATCAGATAAGAGCACTCGATTATTTCTGAAAACAAACTCGCTATGAAAGCTGAAGTGTTCTTTCCATTACTCGTAAATTGACTTATTTTTGATACGTCGAGAGCACGACCTTTAATATAAGGTTATGTAATGGTAAATAGGATAGATAAATCTTATTTTCTATCCTATCTCTGTTTTAGAAAATAAATAGTCGATAAACATGTATAGGTAATTCGTGTACGTTATTGAAAACGTTAAAAGATCAACATTTTTCGTTATAACAGTCTTATTAAAGTGAGAAGTTTACTGCCAAATAATAGTCTATTCACAAACTGTGCATGAAATGAAAAGTTGTGCTCTATAACTGATAATTATAATCAACCACTTTAATATAATTATAAAACATTGATTTGAAGTACAAAATTTTAAAATTGTTCTTCTTTTTATAAACAGAAATTTTATTCTACCTACCGCGACCGGTGCCGAATTTTTATAGAAACCTTCATGATATGGGTTTTATTCTTTCTGTTTTATTAGCCATAAAGTTTTTTACATAAAAAATTTAATTACGGTTAGATAAAATCAAGAAAGATTTAAAAAAGTATGTATTTAATATTAAACGAATCATTTAATAATGTTCCTTAAATATTACTCTTAAAAACTCTTTTATTTTTCAAAGTACTAATGGTTAGAATATATGTGAAAAAACTAATGAGACCGGAAAATAAAAAATCTTTTTTTTACAAAATGTTACAACAATTTTATCTCAGGAACTCATTAAATAAAGTTAACATTTAGAGAAAGTAATGTGCTACAAATCTACATCTTAGAATTTAAAAAAATGATTTGATAGTATTTACAACCTTTAAGTTTATTTCAAGTTTTTTCGGAATTCATATTTAAATTCAATATTTTAAAAATCAACAAAAAAATTTCTAAACAGCTAGCGGGCTTACAATTTGTTTTGGAGCAATGTTGTTTTCTGAACGTTGTCTGTGATCATTTTACCAACATAAGTTAAATTGACAATGTGTCATTGTATTTTTTTTTCCATTACAGTCTGCCTTTGTAATTTTTTCTTTTTATTTTATTTTAAGATCGTACGAGACCATTGGTTGTGTAATTTTAATATGTTATATACTTTTAAATAAATTATTATTATATCGGCAATGATATCAGATGAGATATTTTTTCTTATTGAACTTTAAGTATCGAAACAATTAGGTACTGCTTTCAAAATATATATGTATACACAATTATACATACTCATTTTCAAATCCTTTCAAGGATATTACTTCAATATGTTGACATAATTTTTATTATAAAATAAATATAATCTACTTAAGAAAGTATGACATTAAAACTGCGATATTACGAAAACTTTATAAACAACCCTACTGAATAAAAAATAACACTTCATTTTAATACGAAAACAAGCCATAAACCCAAATTGAAAACAGTCTCACTTAAAATTTTAGAACCCGCCCTCGGGAACTTGGCAGCCAACAGAACTATCAATGGCGCAATAAACATGCCACACTATTGCTACTAGCTGAATTTGGCACAAGTGTACCATGCAGTTTGTCATAAAAAAATAATTTGCATATATGACACCAACATATAAGTAAAAGAATAATAATTTGTATAACATTCGTTATACAATTTTACATTTGGTTTATTTATTATAATCGAAATTTCAATTTTCATTATTTACGGGAAGAACATTATATCACATTCCTGTAAATAATTTATTTTAACCTCTAATTGTTAATACTTGCGTGAAAAGGTAAAACACAAAGTAATAAAATATAATAATAAAAAAAAACATAATTATATGTAAGTATTATAAGAAGCACTGTAGTATATTTGTATATTAGAACAGAGACAAATACATTGTTTTTTCATAAGCACTTAATTTATATGTTTGCAGATCTTAACATAATATTTGTATTTAACAAAACAACATCTAAAAGAGGAAAAAAGACTTTAACATAGAAATTTAATCCGTTTATTTAAAATCATTTTATTCCTGAAATTCTTTTAACCCGTCTCACCTGTGATCGTAAGTCAGCCAGAGTCGCCTCGTTTTCCCTAAGTGTTGTAGTTAGCTCGTGCACTCGGGCTGCACTTGATTCCTTGTTCCTCCTTATGACGGCCGCCTGCTGACGGAAGGGAGCCAGCTTGTCCTCTTGGGGATCGGATTCGGAGAGACGACGTTGAACTATCTGCTCGATCTCACCATTCACTTTTGATATCTTTATAAGAACAATATTTTTATGTTACATATGTATTATTATGTATTTACACCAAATGACAAAAATACTGACACATTTGTCATGTTATCGAAGACTTGTTTTGACTCATTATTCATCATGATAATAATATAATCTATTGATTAAGAGTCATTTTGCACCAAAATATCCATATATATTAGAAACACAATTCTCGAAGTAAAAAAAATAATCACTTATACCTGTTACGAAATGAACAAATATAAATTCTGAAGAGCGAGCTTTTTAAAAGGATAATAAAAATGTGGTTATAAAAAGCAGGCATAAATGTCATTTTACCTTCTTTATGTTAACAAAGTGTTTAAAGAAATGTTGTTTTCTTGTCTTTTATGTATACCTTTTGCATGAATTTTCCGTGTTATAAGAATACAAATAATCAAAAGGAGGTCTTAACATATTTCTCATCTTGGAAAAAGGAAAACGTTCTCAAAACCAGTAGCAACAGATGTTTTTTGAATAATGTCATAAGACAATAATAATATTAACTCCAAATAAAATACCTTATCCTGAAGGACAATTAGATCTGACCGTGTCGGATGTTGTTCCATGGCTATCGTTTGCATTATGTTTAATTCCTTCTGTAGACTCGCCGTCTCTTGGGGAAGCTTTTCTTTAATTAGATAACTGTTCAACTAAAATAAAATGTACTTACTTGCTGTATGTATAACTAATTAAAAGATCTTGCATGAATTTTAAACAAATGATTTGATTAGGAGTATTTTGCATAAGATTGCCTCTTGAAATACTTATAAACATATTTCCATATCAAAGTAATTTCTAAACAAAATAATAATGTATTAACAGAACAGATAAAAAAATTAACAGTCTTAATTCAAAGGAATGGGTTATAGCACCAACAATAGAGTAATTTCGGGAACAATAAACGTCGAGAGAAAGCGCTACCTGTATTTCCTCTTCTAAATGTTTAATAACGTCTGCTGCGGTTTTCGGGGTTGCACTTTGTCCGTGCATAACGTTTAAATACCGCTTCAACTGTTCCGAAGCTGTTTTCAATTGAGCTTGTTGCATGTTGTACTGAAATTTTCAACTCTTTGTTTCATGAAATGTAATTGCAACTTTTCGTATACAAATTTGAGTGGCTTACTTGAGTCTGCAATTCCTTTGCTTTTTCCTGTTGGACACGTAGCAGTTTACTTACTGCCAGCAAATCTTCTTTATCTCTTACGTCTACTAAATGAACTTGGACGTTTTCTAAGCGTTTGATAACTAAAAAAAATAAGAAGGTAATGAAACTAAATTTAAATTTTTAGCAATTTTTTTACAATAACTTTCTGCCAAAATATGTAGTTACCAATGTCCCTTTCCACTGCCATTTCCTTAATATCATTAATTATTTCAGTAGCATTTTCTTTTTGCAGCATCCTCGTTCTTTTGTGTACATCCTTAAACTCATCAATGAGATTCTGATAGAGGTCCAATAAGTCTTGGATCGTATTATTCCTTGTAACATCGGCTGGGATGTCCGGAATTTTCAAATACCTACAAAAAACAAAGTTTAGATAATGTTTACTATGATAATTAATTTATAGTCATAAATTTTAATACGTTGCATATATAGATTATAATTATCTCTGTTTCTATTATCTCCACATAATAGGTATACACTTGAGCACTAATTACCCTAGAAATGCATTGCATATATACATAATAAACATGACAAAGACGACGTGATCATATTCTGTTTGCTGAATTGTGGCTCCTGTTGTATTTCATAGGCATATATATTCATGACACAGTTGATCTTAAAATAAATTAGTTTATGACACGTAAGGCCAAACTGTCTGAAAGCCTTTTATTTAAATTTAAAAGATTATAAAAGGTAAAAAGATTTAATCAAGATTACGAATATGACATATTGTTTAGTAAATATAATAAAAAAAAAATTTTATACATAAAAACATTTCATATTTAGTGAAACTGTTGGTTAAGTAAAACAACACTTTCTACTGCCTATACATTTCTTTCTAAACTTTTCTTAAAGTAATAGTAACCTTCTTGGGTTGGGTTTAAGGGGTATTTTTATTATCACCAAAATCTCGCTTGAGGTAATGATGTAATGAAATTTCTTTTTATACATACCATATGGAGGTATCGATCAAGAAAATGGCCGTCTTTGGACGTTATTTAAAAGTGCGAAGATAAAAATACATATGCCTGTTTGGTGTCTTTAAGGGATTTAAATTTGTATGGAGAACTTAATAACAATAAGTTGTTATGAATAGAGATATTTAAAATGTTTTTAAAGAAATACTTTTTAATCTATATAATATTTAAGTAGCATAAATTAGTATGAATAGACATTTTCTAGTCTCTTTGACTACAATATTAAGTTATTTGACAACAAATACACTTAGCTTGAAAAATCATTAACATATGATATATAATATATAATCATATATAATCATTAACATATCATCATTAACATATGGAATAAAATAAAAATTAAATGAAATACACGGTACTCTACACACTACGTTTATCACTCAGTAACCTAATAAAAATCTATTTGTGCTAAGCTTTGCCAATCAGCAGGTACAAAAGGACATGCAAACACTTTATAAGGAACATACTCCTATTATACGAATATAGATCTTGTAAAATTTAACAATTCAACAAGATTAGATGTTAATAGATATGCACGACTTCTGAAATTCTACAACGAATTATTTACTGCAGATTCTATTCAATGCATTTCTACGGTTACGGAAAATGCACCATTTAAATTTCTCGGTCGTAAGATTGATAATATAGGAGGTACTCCATCTTTAGAAAGAATAGTAGATAGCTTTTTGAACGATCTTAACAAGGTAGATAGCCAACTGATAAGAAACGTCAAAAAAGCGTGGATCTACGAGAATTACTTAACTTCACGTTTTAAAATAATATAGAGTCACGACTTCAATTCCATAAGCAATTTATGATAGGAGCACAAAGTAACAGAGCGGGGTTGGGATCAAATAGGAAATGTAGATATGCAATGAATTTAATAGATTTTTGCATCCCATTAGCATTAAAATGGCGCACTGATTGGTCGCCAGCATTGCTAAAATTCTATCTCAATGTTCCAGATGACTCTCCCAGATCAGAGTAATTTTGTAAGATGGGGTTACCGAAAAAAACTTGCTATATCTGTGGAAAAAAGAATGTCAAAAGGAAATAATTTATATATAAACTCAAAAATCGAAAAATATTGAAGTTCTAAGTTTATAATAATTGGTTACGTAAAAGTAAATATGAAGCAATTATTTTATAAGATACTTTTATAATATTATTGAAGAATGTAATAATTCAAGATTCTTGGACTAGAAAGCGAAAACATCTTAATAAATATAAAACTCAAAAAATAATCTTATTGTCACGAATAAATGTTCTAGAAAATCAAATAATGAAGATTAAATCAATAAACCACGCCGCAACGGTCTAGCATGAGTCATAATAATTAGAATAGTAATTAAGTATGGCCTTCTCCGTCATGGGTTATAACCAAAACTAATAGAAGTTTAAAATCGGAGATTAGTGCGTACGATCTAAGTGACCACAATGGTATAATACCTGCAATAAAAGTTTCCGATTTATATATTTACCTATATTTCTAAGGATACAACTTTTTAAAAAGTTATATTAATTAGGATGTGAGAAAACGTCCAGAAAGGTTCTAAGTATGGTCGCATTGTTAGGACCGACGAATACAAAATAAAAAATAAATAATTATAGGTAGTTCAAAAATAGTCAACAGAGAGTTTATTGTGCTTTGAGATGTTAAGAAACTATTCGGAACAAAAATGAAAACCCGGTGGTAGTTCATATTAAATTAACATATCGAAATATTCTTGATGTAACTGTTAGCAAGATTTAAATTTACAAATTTCATTACGGTTTATCCTGAACTTTTGCAGTGATGCAGGCAAAACTCATTTTACTAACATAAATTATAGAATTAGGAAAAGCTATTTCACTATATTTAGATAAATAATAAATCGAGTAGAATAGGTTCCAAAAATATTTCACTTTTATAAGTTTTGACATCACACAATTATACAAAAAGCTTAGAATGGACTGAATATAATAACTGAAAGTAAATAATATTGAATATTTGCTTCTCAGTCCTTTGTACAGTTAATGGATTTTATCAATAATTGCCATTCCTTTAAATCTGCTAAACTGATGAATTTTGATGAAGGTTAATTTTGACAACTTGCCTCAAAGAAGAAAGTAATTATTAGAATTAATACAAAATAGTAAAACATGACAGAAATGAGGGCTTTCGTATTTTCATCAATTCAGTTTTCCAAGATTTCGTCTTTGTCTAAAATGTGACGAGAATGCATGACTGTAAAAGCTTACAAATAGAACTGTTATTTAAAATTATAATAATCGTAAGTTATTAATTAATGTAGGAGAGCTGGTAGCAAATTTGTTGTAGGTGTTTGAGGCAAGCTGAAAAATTATCCCATACCAAGAGGTATTAGAGGTAATAGAGGTATTAGAGGTAATAGAAGACTATTGTACAACTGAAATGTAGGTTAACATTAATATGGATACACACGTGGATATCCATGATTAGGTACTTACTTAGCCAAATATGCTGTATTTTTTACTTGTTCTTTATTTGACAAAAGCCAATGTAAAACATGGTGAACAGTCCTTTGATCTCCTGCGATTAACTGCGACCTAAATGCTGTTGCTTCAACACTAGAAGGCGGCCGATATTTTACATTACCCAACATTTCTAATAGCCGCACAGTAACCATCTCCGGCTCATCTTCATGAACATTAAGCTAAAGAGAAGAGAACATTGGAAATTTATCTCCTTTGTTACTAATTAACAAAATATAAAACCAAAAGAAGTCTTACCTTTTCCCCTGCGCCAAAACTAACCAAAAGATCACCAAGAACTTGCAGTAATTGTTTTTCGTCTAAGGAGTCATATTTTATTAAATCGTAATTTCTGCCTAATGTGGAATTCAATTCCTTCACTATAAACTTTATTTGATCGGTCATCTTGTTTATTAACCTTAAAACAATTATTAAAGGACTATTGCACAATCCTACAAAATAAGTTAGTGTTTTCGTTTTGAAGTTGCTTGGCAACCGAATTCGACGAAGCAGTTAGCACTGTATTTTTTTCATCTTTTTCATTTTATTTTATTTTTGTTACCCTTAAAAATAATATGATATATCTTATACACTTTAAGTCTGAAACAATAATAAGTATTGTTCCCAAATTCTAATTTTATATGTGGTGGTGGTGGTTTTTTTTTCGATGTAAGGTACTGGTGCGGTTGTTGATATTCAACTTATTCAAAAGAAGATAAAAAGATTTTCTTCTATTTAGACACAAAATTAAAATCGTTATCCAAGGTTTTTTCATTTTAAACCAAAGCCTTAAATAAAAGTGTTATTGATTTTTCTAAATTTAGAAAAATCCAAGACAATGTTGATGAAGCATGGCAATGTCTAATAAACAATAAACAAGCTGAAAATTGTTAATGATAAGCCTTCCTTTGCGTAGCTAAAACAATAGCTATTTATATTAATGAATGTCCACATATAAATCTAAGTTTTTATGGTACCTAATTTGGTCGAAATAATCATAATCTTTATTCAAGTAAACAAATAAATATGTTGGTTAAGAGTTTCTTAAACAAAACACATTACCTGAAAAAGAAGTTTCTCTTTCGGCCATGTATTATCAGTTCTATCGCAAATCACGGTTTTATGTTATTTTGTCTGTGTAACCCAACTTAGGTATTTAAAAACTGTATGAATTCAGAAATCTATTTTTAGATTATTCAAAAACTATTTTTCTTCAAATCAAAATTTATTTTAGTTTAGATCAAACTGGCGATCTGTTCATAGTCATATTTGTGCATGGTCACACAAGAAGCTGTTACCGTTTTCTTTCATAACGCTTTATTGTGTATATTGACATAATACTCTACCGGTGACGCTGTAACAGCCGCAGGGCTAACAGCATATTCATTACAAAAAAAAAATTGACATAAATCGTTAAACAGGAAAAGTCTCATTCTTTGTTTGAAAACGAAGGAACAAGCTTGGACTAAGAATATCGATTCTGATAATTTTATATACTAATTTCATTTATGAAACGAGACCCCAGAAAAAAATATCAACAAACTATACATTAACAAATTATTTAAAATATTAACAGTATTAATATAAAGTTAACCAGTGTTTCAATATATGATAAAAATAAGAGAAAGAAAAAAAAATATGTATGTACAACCTTACCTCTTTATAATAAAACTATGTATCTGCATTAAGGATCTATCAATGAAACAATTTTTAATTGTGGAATAAATTATATTTCTATTATAATACAATCATTGCTATCATATTGTTTATCGTCAATTCTCAACAATTACCGTTATATCATACAGTTTTGTGCCTTATACTGTATTAAGTAGATCGAATTAAAAAACAATCGTATCCCCTCACAGCCTTCACTATCTCAATTAGTGACCATTAAGTTTTTTTTTCTTATAGCTCTTAATTAAAGCATAAACAAAATTTAATAATACCCTATTTGCCTATTGATTTTGCAATCATTCTATACTAAATTCGTGCGATTGCTCACACAGGAAACCTCACTGGCATAGTTGATACCTAGCACCGACGGGGTAGGAGAAGCTGATAGCACTAACGTTATTTAAATGACAAAGAAACTAGAAAACGTAGAACTAATTATGTTTTTACATAATGACTCGAATTTACTTCTCCTCCCCAATGAAAAATAAAATGTTAATAAATAATAAAGCTATCAGAACATTCATTGATTTCAACTAAACTTATTTTCTAAAGTGTTAAGAGAAAATTCAGAATAAATCTCTTCTGCTGCATACATGTACCACAAATCTTTTGAAACCCTTTTGAAAAATTACACAGATAATGTATTATATTAAAATTTCTATTTTTTTTTTTTTCCTTATTGAAATGTAAAAGAAAACAGAATTGTATGTTATGTTATGTTCATTATAACTAATCCTATGAATTACATAAACAAATAGTTTGTACTCTCCTATTTTACTTGAAACCCAATTAGTTATTTACCGATTGATACATAAACTAAAACTTAGTTTTGAATATTTATATTTTAAACGAAAATGTAATCATATCATATTATCAAAAATAATAACTATTGATAGCATTCCCAATACACTATCTTAGAACCAAAACTACACTACAGTAACCAAATAAACTTGTATAATTTTACTAGAAGACAATATGTATATGAGCAAAGTGTGATGATGATGTTTTATTTGTTATAATTAGGTTAATTATTAATGATCGATAATATTCCCAACAAATTTATAGAATTGATTTGAACTTTGACATTGTAGACTGCAAATGGATATAACTAATACTTGTTTCATACAAACTTGATCTATAAGGAATGTGTAAAAAGATTTCAAAATGCTGTATGATCTTTTTGCACAGATAATATTTTTTTTTTTATTATTTTTTACTTAATAAAGATCATATAAGATTCATCATTGTATCCATGTATATAAATGCAAAATATCAATTTTCTAATAAATATAATACAAAACGAACAAAGTCAAAACAAATAAAATCGCGAACATAAACATTTCAAAACATAAAATAATACACCACGTTATTGATGATATTCACATTTACACTTAAACTCTAATGATCGGTACCTCACATGGTATAACGTTCTAAACAAAAGTATACTTCCTAATTCTAAATCACAAGTAAGAAAATCATTAAGGCGACGTATCGAATATAATCCGATTCAGTTCGGCGACGCCCCGACCCGTCCTATGCGAGCGGGGGAGTTTGACTGACTCATGGAAGCTCTGTCCGTCGCACAGGCGGGTTGGACACCCTCACAGAAGGCCACCTTTCCGACCGAAGAGAAAAGTGCTGAGAGTGCCTAGGGGAGATGACTGTACAGGTGCGTTATTAGAGGCAGGCGCCGTTCCCACCGTACCCAGGTCGGTACGGGGTCGAGGTGCTCTCACTCGCGGCCTCCGCGCCCCGTTTGAGGGCCCCGTTACGCATCCCAACCCCATCGAGGCAGCCACGTCTAGAGCTCCCTCACCCGGGTGAGCGGGCACCCCCAGTGGAGCATCCGAATCATCCGACCGCTCTGAAGGCGCGGCAGCGGGCGATCGAAGCGTTCTCTTCAGACAAGTCAGCTGTTCCATCGGGCTGCGATGGACGAGACCCATATATAGAGAACCCGGGGTTTGTAGAGCGAGCGGGGCCGGTGACCCGTCGGAGTTCGGAGAAGTTAGGTATCGTCGCCGGAGTATTGATGTACCGCTCGCTATCAAAGCGTGAAGCGAGGGCGGGGCGTCCCCGGGCCGCGGTGTGGGAGGAGGTGAAGAATCCGGCGAGCCTAACAGGGGACTGTTTGCGGGTGTGGCCGTCGGTGTGAAGTGTGACCGCTGGACGGGAACGCATAGCGACTCTCGGCGAGAGTGAACCGGTGACACCGCGGCGGAAGACCGGCGTGATGTGAGCCGCGAACTCCAGGCGCTGCCCAGCACACTGCTGGACAGACTGCTCATACCGCTGCTACACACGCTGCTCACGCTGCTACCTACGAGGCTGCCATCGTTCGGATGTAAGACCGTGCTGCAGCCAAATCGAAACAAAAAGAAGCTTAAGCGATGATATCATAATTACAAATAAATAATCAATTATGAGTAGCCTGCTGCTAAAGTACTAATAATAATAATTAAGGAATAATTTATAAAATTAAGTTAAGCGAACATGATGGTAAAAACAAAAATGTTCACAGTACAATATATGTACAAGCCAGCTTTTTAAGGTAATAATACATTGTCTTTAGTAAGATATATAATATACATATATATTCTATAACTTATAAACGTACCTGTTCGTAAATGTATATATATGGCTGGAGTGTGGTAGCCGCGGCATATCATCATCTTCTTCTACATCCGATAACCTATATACCCTCATGCCTAACGATTGTGCAGATCGTGAGCCCCTCACACCAACACCTTCTTGCTCTTCTAATAAGCCTGCAAGACATAAAAAAATCAGTCACTGCTCTACTGTTTAAGTTCAGTAAACTTAAGTAGTGTATATACATACCAGACATATTAGGCTTAGCGAGCTGAGCCCAGGTGTGAAGCGTAAGGGATCCTTCCATAGGTTTAACGATCTGTAACTTGTGAGGAGCGCGGAACCTCGCGATTCCACCTGCCACACCTGCTCCCCACACCGCACTCTCTTCACTGGCATCTCTGTCTGCAAGATAAAAAATTATATCATTAATCCTTACTAATATTATAAAGGCGAAAGTAACTCTATCTGTCTGTTACGCTTTCACGCCTAAATCACTGAACTGATTTTAATGAAATTTGGTACAGGTATAGAGTTGACCTTGAGAAAGAACATAAGGGTAGTTTTTATCCCAGACTTTTGAAAGGTTTTCTTGGAAACGCGATATAACCGAACTCCACGCGGGCGAAGCTGCGAGCGGAAAGCTAGTAATACATAAACTTAAAAAGAAATCGACTTCCAATTGACAGTAACCAACCAGATCGTCGTCTTTGATGTAACAAATGCGACGCCGCTAGTGAAGCGCGCCGCGAATTGATCTCTTGTGGAGTGAGGCGCCTCAGGGCCGCTGCTAGCTCCGCGGCACCCGGTGCTCCAGGAACGCCGACTGCTGCGTTACCACTGTAACAAACAATTTATTACAATTTTTACAGATATTCAATAATAATGTAGAATATCAAGAAAGTTAACAAATAAAAAATATCTACGGGTACAAATCCTCAGACTCGGTGTCCGATGTATCTTCGAAGAATGAGTCTGAGGTGGTTTTAGGAACCGGCTTGAAGGCGCGGGGGGCGACATCGTCCTCGGAGCCAGACAGTGAAGCACCCGACCAGCGAGATGCGCACTGCACCGTTTCAAACACCTTCTGCATGCTTGAACTATAACACATTTACAAATGTTATGAATTAAATTATTTCGTGTATCTTTATATACATGTAAAATGTTATATTGTAGTACAATAAAGAATATTATTATGAAAGTATAACAAACATGACTTACTGTGCGAGCGGGTCTCCAATACCCGAGTCGAGACTGAGCTCTGAGTACACGGAGGAGTGCATCTCTCTATGTAAGCTGGCTGGTAGCAGCCCAGCAGCGGCCGCCACGGACGGCATGAGGCCGCGGGTGCTCTCACCGCGACGACGGACCGCGCGGAGCTGCTCCTGCGCCTCCGCCAACAACGCTGCCACCTCTGCATACCGCTCCTGTAAACATTTTCATAATACATTAGCAATTTTCCCTCGTCACTTGGTAAGCGTCAATTTCGAAATTATATTCAGAGTAGGCTGTAAAGTATCTTAGGATAATAGATGTGATAACCAATACACAGCCCCATCTATATTCTGAACAAAGTGACTACGCAAATTTCAAGTATTATACAGTAATCCAGCGGAAAATACATTATAGAATATATTATATGCCTTCTCATCCTTATATATTTATGCTTGAGTTACTTTTGAGTGAAATCAAATATCCATACGTCTCACACACACATTTAAAAATTACATTAGAAAAAAAATAAGCAAAGTAAACTTTTTAACAATTGTGATAAGTTTACCAACCTTTGCGTCCGCCAATTCTGATGCGAGTGCATTTTGATTTTCTTTTGTGATTTCTAATATTCGTATAGTGTGCTCGTGTTCTACCGTCAACTGTAAATAAAACAAACTTTATAACAATGTAGTAACTCAATACAAAAAACTACCCCACCAGCTGTCAGCCAATGAGAATGACAAGAGAAAATCTATTAGTTTTTAGGTCAGCATACTCGGCGGTATGCTTTTGAACGCATTTACTAAGTCTATCTATAATATAATTATGTACTGAACTAGTTCATTTACGTAAGACCCATGTCGTGACTACCGCTTACCTTTCTAACTTACTAAGATGGACAGAAAAGAAAGTTACTTAACGTAACTGTAATTAATATTCTTTTACGGTGATATTAATTTATTATCTGATATGTTATAATTACATTCAATACAATACAACATGTCTCTTTGATATATAAAAATATAGTGTGTTAGTAATTAACGTGATTATGTCTAAGTATAGTTGTAGGAGATTGAGTTCGTAACAGTCGCTAAATACGGAAAAAAAACTTTTGTTAGGGAGTCTTATAGTGAAAAAGAAGAAATTATATTAAAATTTAATAACCACCGCAAAAGGTGAAAGTTGATAAACATTTAAAAAAAATAGAGAAGGAAAATCATTCCTAAGTCACGACTCTTGGAGTTCAGATAGATATTACTGCTGAATATTTTTTCTTAGTATTATTATTATTATCACCTGTTGTAAGCTTCGTTCACTGAGTGTGAGCCTGGCGCTAGTTGAGTCCAATTGATGCTGGAGGTCAGCGGAACGTTGGCTTTCTTCAGCTAACTCCGAACTTAACACCGCTGCTTCCGAATTAGCACTCGCTGGAATGTAATAGAAATTTGGATACTTTTAATTATAGTGATAGTAACTGTTGATTATAATGATTTTTTTACCACATTACATTTTTTTTATACAAGTACATGTTAGAATTCAAGAAATTTTACGAAAACAATTCATAAAAAACAATGAACGCGTAAAGTAGACAGTAACTGTAACATACATGCAACATTACTACACAATGCATTGAAAGTTTTGAAAGCTTCAATTATTAGAGACGCTCCCACGGTGATAATGGAATTGTTAGAACAAGTATGGTCTGACAGGGTGCAAGCCTTAGGAGAAAACACGCTGCTAGGCCACCTTGTCCCACCAAAACCAATATTAAACCTCTTCATATCCTTTTTGTCCATCAGTTTTCTTATAAACATATATATTAATACATAATAATTATAATAAATTTAGTGTTTCTTAACTAGATTAAATAATTTTAGTCCGTATGGTCATTCCATGTTGACATAGTAATGCATTTTTTTATTAAAAACCCGTAGCACCTATTAATACTAATGTAAAAAGGCATATTATCTCACTGAGAAACAATGCTTCGTATATAGTGGGACGATGTAAACTTGGACTAAACATAAAACTGCCGAGTTTTACTTTCGTAACATTAACATTATTTCCTTCATTTCCGTTGATATAAATCACTCTACGGGGGATATGTATGCCATTTATGATAAAACAACTAGTTTCCGTTCCGAGTAGTGTTGTGTAACTAGCCGATGACGTCACACAGTTCAAAGATCTTAATACTTGTGTTAAGAATACATTTCCTTACTTCTAAAATTATTATTATATTATTGTAGAAGTGAATTAAAGTGTTAATAGTATTTTATATAAGCCATTCAAATAGTTAAAGTAAGTGAAGTAATAAATTAATATTACTATAACCAATATAAATATAGGATATTAATATTTTTATGTTTCATTTCTACAAACTGTCAAGTATGTATCAATTCTACAATTTATGATCCATTTCCTTTAATTATTCCGTTCTGTACCGTATCTAACAATATACATAGTGAATATTTTATTTCTTACTGCATTATTAATATTAGATTAACACTAATCACATGCCCTTCTTTAAAATCCCATACTAAAAATACATTTATTATTGTCGAATTACAACAATTTTTACAATTGAAGTACAATATAAAACTATCGGGAATCGTAATTTTCAATTAAATCATAACATAAGTAGTTTTCTATATATTTGATAATTTACATTATTACTGCTTATTTACATGTCGGTATACTAGTTAAAGTATATTGTATTTTAAAAGTCATATTATTATAGTTAATAATGTTATAGTTGTATACGGAGAACTCAATTTCTAATATATAATGTATCAATTTAATTTTATTGATAACAATCGATTCTTATGGAAAAATCCAAGTTTCCATACATTAATAACAGTTTTCTTCAACCTGGCAATTTCCCAGCTAAAGCCAGGGTCTGCCTTACATGTTGTGAATAGTTTTGGCTATTTGTTTTTACGACCGGCCGCCTGCGTGACATCAACCCTCTTTGGGAATGCATTAAATGCATTAAGAGTGCATAATATGACTCGGAAAAATCACATTGGTACTTTGCCCGGGCCAGTACATTAATAAAAGAATATGTATAGTACTTTCTGAGAGTATTTAGACATCACTGAAATACGGTGAAGGAAAACATCGTGAGGAAACCTGGACTTATAGTTTCACAATTATAAGTTTGAAATCACCAACCCGTCTTGAGCAAGCGTTGTGATTAATGCTCAAACCTTCTCCATGTGAGAAAGAGGCCTTTCTCAGCAGTGGGCTTCTGATAGGCTGATGACATTTATAGTAAATGAACGTCGTAATGTAGTACCGATCTCTTGTATAGTAATGTAAGTACTCACAAAGCTGTGAGGCGATGTCCCTGAGCAGTTGTCTCTCAGCCAGCTCGGCGGAGTCAGCTCCTGCTGCGAGGCGCGCCGCCTCATCCCTCAGCGCCCGGTTCTCTCTCTCCAGGGCGCCTGTGCGTTTCTTCAGAGCGATCGCAGTAGCCGCCTCTTGCTCCTCAGCTGTTGGAGAACCATCCTCTGTGTCGTTTGTTAGTATCTGTAAAGAAGATCTTTTTAATATATACCTTACGTTTACATTTCGACTGCCGTTCATTATTTTCCGAGAGTTCATCTACTACCTAGAAAATTGATCAACTTACGAGCCTTGTTATTTTTCGGTGACATATATAAAAATATAGATCCTATTGATATGATAATATCTTGATTATGTGATTCAACTACCGCATTGATGTACATACTATAGTATATGTAAAAATTTTCAATGTCGATTATAGTAAGGCAGTAAGTTATTATCAATAATATATTTATATCAACTATAACCTGGTTAATAGGCAAAAAATAATTATAATAAGAAAAATTCACTACATTCAATATGTAATTGTTGTAACTTGTAATCATAGCTTAGCATGCTTTCAAAGATAACGATAACATGTATTAAATCAGACGCATATTCAGATGATAATACAGTAAATTTATGATTGTCCTATTTTTATTGAAATTATTATCTATAAATACCATATTAATGCTTTTAACATACATATCGCGAATTTATTCATAATTATTTATCGATCGCAAAGTTATCCAGAGATTATTTAATGATAAAAAATATGTAATGAACTTTTATGATGGGTTTTTCATATCATTTATTTATACTAAAACATGTATGTAATGCATGAAAAATTTAATTAATAATCCAAATCTCTTATAAAACTGTTATGTTTTCATTCGACGTGATGTGTATATGATAACCTATTTATAGACAGAGTAAGTAAACCTGTATACAGGGTGACTGGTGAATTACTATCGATACTTGAGGACGTGATATTTGACGATCATATATGACAAAGTAAAAATTAATATAACATAAATATTAATAAACTTCTGAGTAAAGTTAACCAAAAGTTATGTAATTAATTACGCATCGTGTGAACACCCTACAGATTAGGTATACACACACACTCACACACACGCGTGCGCGGCGTGTTGTTGTATCAGCACGCCGCCGCACGCGTCCACACTTGGAACACTTGGAACGTGTCAACACTTTATTTATTTATACGGAAATTTTGTCAAAAATTAAGTGCCTATTTTTTTTACATAATTCGAATGAGAATCATGTACCGAGTATTCTCCTTAAATATTGATAGTAATTCACCAGTCACCCTGTATATTGTTTATATAGTTATTTCAGTGTAAATTTTGTTAAAACTGGTACTATTGCAGTTTATTATGACTGAGAACTGGTTCCTTGGTTAATATCGTTTCTCGGTATTCTTCACTATTAGTCGTTAGTCTAAAACTCCAGACACATTTCTACTCTGTCAGATTAGTAAGACCGTACTATCTTAATTTGTAAAATATTTTAGTTTTGTCCAACTGAGCAATATTTTAAAACATTTCCACCTTTTTTTAAATTAAAGAATATATCTATCCCTTAAAATTTTTTGGGATTACAAAATGAAATTAATCCATTTTTATATCATTTAAATATACCTATAGTTTTTGTATTGATACCACCTTCTTCCTATTTACAGTAAGCATTGAAACTACTGAAAAGTGAAATGAAAAGTTTCTAATCTTAAATCTTGACTAGTATTTCAATTGTTTTTATAATGAAAAATATATATACATATTATTTTACTGTATTAGGACGAGCCGAACAAATGGTTTACTAAATAATAATAATAATAATTGTTATTTTGGAAATTAACAATGCAATTCTAAAAATAAAAAAATAATATTTTTTGTGTTTATTTTAGTGACTTTCATTAGTTCTTCCTTAACAAAAGCCTAAAAACCCTGACTTCGACGAGAAGTAATATACAAGGAAAATGACAATTTGATTTTCATTACCTGATAGTTACTTATGATTCTTGAGGCAAGAACATTATGGGTTTATCATATGAATTTAATGACTGGTCCCGTAATAAATAAAACATAAGAGTTTAGTGAACGGATTCTGAGTTAACGAATAGAAATAAACTTAAAAATAAGAATTACTGCTTTAATTCAGCTTAAAACTTCAAATTAACTTTTAAGTTATTAGTAACCTTAACAAATTTAAGTAATTAAATGCGATATACAAAGAAATAGCTTAAATAATATAATTCAAGTTACATGTAAAATGAACGAAATGTCTGTCAAATAGAATTACTACGACGCGACGTCTAAAATTAGTATAACATTAGCAGAATATAGGTGTTTTTAATTATTATAAGAGCGTTTTTTACCTAAGAGTACGTCTGTAAAATTCTTGACATAACTGTAGACAGTTACATTCTCCTTAAACGAAATGGACAGTTACAAGTACAGCTTTAATGAGCAGGAGAAGCTTAGATCTGGCTTTACCATTATAAACTCATCTTCCAGTACATTACGAATCATACGTAGATATCTCGTATTACATAAATAAATATAATACATTTATTATTGACATAGTTTTCCTTTAAAAGGTCAACATCACAGTAGCCCCCAAATATATTTGGAGTAATTGCTTTAAATTTTTTTATTGTATACACTGTAGTGTATCGAATATAATAAAACTTGATTTAAAAGAATGACTTGCATACAATAGAGACTTATGTGCAACCGACGCGTGTATTTTGGTAATAAAGAACCAGTGAATGTTTTTGACATTGCGTTTATATATCTAAAATATTCTAAATAAGTGAATAAAATTATTTTCACACTAAGACTAGCAAACTTCTTGGACATAAACACTACTGTTTCATAATGCGATCTGAGATTTTTGCGAGTCATTTAAATGAAACTAATATTTTGTGAATATACTACGCGACTTTTTATTTTTGATAAAAACTACATACTTCCGATGTTTTGATTACTTTACAGCAACCGTGATCACGGGCAGACGAGATGTGTCTACTATTGTATGTGACTACCGTTTCATTAAATTTTCGTGTTATCTTAAAATAAATTTGACACAAGCATATCACTTTGAATCTACTATTATCACGCATGAGTAAACATTCCTTTGGGAGATGAAGTTTAAACCAGAACTAATGAACTTAACTATTATTGATATATTAATATTGTACGGCTTGAATGAACATTCCTTTGAGAGATGAAATTTCAATCAGAACTAATGAACTGAACTATCATAATAATTGATATTGAACTGAACAACAAGTACCTAGAAAGTGAAGTATAACCATATCAGCTGAACAACAATGTTAGAAAAACGTTCTTGATTTTTCGTAAAGTATTCATATATAGAACTACTAGAACATTTATTCATTCTTGGAACGTATATCGAAGGCTGCCCTAGTAGGTTCTTTTCAAATTTGGTTAGGTAGAGAGAGGAGCTTGGACAGTGGAGGTGATCGTATAACGCGCGTTAGATAGGGGTCCCTTAAACCTACACCTGGGTCGCAAGTCCCAGTCACTGTTGAAGCTCCTCTCCCTGCAACGCGATGGACAAGGTACCCGCACGGTGAATCCATTGAATGCTAAGAGGTTTCGTCTCTTATATTTTATTCTGTTAATATCTCACCTGCAGTAGATCACTCTTAGCAGTGAGGTCGTGCCGTAGCTGTGTGATGTGATCCCTCGCCCCTTTCAGTTCAGTCTCCAAGGCGGCCACACGAGCCTCCAGCCGACCGTTTGCAGCCAGCAACTCTTTGCCGATACGAGCAGTCAGCTCTAAATCTTTTTCTTTCTATAATATAAAAGTCGTTAAAGCAATAAATATCTAACAGAAATGTTCAGTTGCAAGTCAAGTCTTACCTCTTCTAAGAGCCGTGTTACCGCTTCGATGTCATTGTAGGTTTTTGTCATTTGGCTCACCCTGTTGCTGCATAGAACTGTAAAAGGGAATACGTGTTCGATATCGTTGATATATATTTATATAGAAACTTGATAAGATAACGTATAGTAAATATTTTACATTATAATGGCACCAATCTTTTAAATATTTGATAATAGTTTCTTTAAATAAACAAAACAAAATAGCTTTGTGTTGTTTATACGAAGAAGTTTTCGATAGTCTTTTCTTTAATCACTCTTTGTAAAACTATTTAGTTAATGTCTATTATTGTGAATAAAAAGGCTACATTGAAGGCGAAAAGCAATGATTACTTAAACAATTATTAGCTTAAGTAATGATTGTTTTATCTGTCTAAAACAAATAAATAAAATCATACAAAAAAACATTAATTGCTTTCTATCTATTATTTGTTAATTTTCATATAAATAATTTGTATGTTATAAACTACACTAAAAAAAAAATCTGGATTTCATAATAATATGTAACACTAGAGAAATCATATATAGCATGACTGAACACTGAAACTGTGATAAATACCACATATTTCCAAATCGGTCACAAAACAATAGAGAAATTCAACACACGACATGTTATCAAACGGGTAACCAATTCACTGAATACTCCAGCTTCCTCAAGCCACAATAAACACACGTATCAGAAACAATTAGGTACGCACTGTTGTTCTACTGATTTAAAAATATCGATAAGATACAGCTACATAAAGGATTCGAACAAAAACAAGTCAATATCAGTACTGACCAGAAATAATATCATCGATGCTTTGCATATAAGAGTCCATTGCATCCTTTGATAGCACTTGTTCAAACTGTAAATTCCGTGAAACGAGCCGTACAATACAATGTTAAAATCAACTCGATAGTATGCTTGGATCGATCGCCGACTGTACAGCGTGGAACTCATCCAACAACAGAACTACAAATCTAAACACGAATCGAAGTATACCATTATGAAACATGGGAAAACTGGAGTATAAGACAATGACAACATTGGTATCGATAAATACAAAGCGATTACTACACCGTATACGATGAGATAACTTTTTTACTATACGATTGTATAATATTTATGTATTAATTATTAATTAGTTAATATAAAGTGCTTTTATATACACTATTAAATATAAGTGCAATTTTAGGTGTTATAGCGAAGTGCAATTAAAACTAGAACTAATATCTATAAAAATAAAATTGATTTCGTGTAAACAGTGAACATACACGCTGTAAATCGGTTCTAGTGAGTGGGGTGAAATATTTTATATACACAAATGATTCGAAGCAAACATTTGAAGATCGGTATGCGTTAGTAATATCGGCTGTGACGTCATAGAAGTATCATGTGATAGAAAATGCATGTTACATGTATTGTTATTCAATTTACGTAATTAATAAGCGTTGCTCCCAACTAAGGCGCTTTCTATTTAACAAAAAGTAATTAGTGAGAACAATAACTTATAGAAGCATTCAATGTATATGAATGTTTTTTTATCTTTAGTAACAACTCCATTATAACAACGGATATCGATTGTATTTACAGTTACGTCTCGTTGAACGTACTTTCAGCTTCTTCAATTATAATTTCTTTTATAAACTCATACCATTGTTACCCCTACTGCTGTAGGAATTTGTCATTTAAACAGGCATGGCTACAAATCAGATGTATAAACGTAAGCCCGTGGTCGGACGGCCAATAAATCGATAGTTTGTGGAATATTTACAAATTATGAATTTAATAATTAATACTAATGTATATCGTGAACTTTGAAAGTTAATATGCAAGAATATTAGTGAATTTATTTTCACGAAATAATTTTAGTTGAGAAAAGAAGAATAGAAATAAAGCTCACACCATCGTAAAGCCTCGATTGGATAAAGGTGAGAAAATCAGAAAATTATATGGATATTAAAGCAAAGTAGATATAAAAGCAATGGATGGAAGAGAAACGTGGAGATTGAACGACACCTGAAGACGATGAAAGCGATGAGGTTATATCTAAATGTATCGCTTCATATCGGTACCTCGATCAAGGAGCAATGTCCGTATAACACGAAAGTAGAGTCGGCCGAACCTGTCCCTGGCCAGATGGTACAGAAAGTCGGGATACTCCCCGAGGCACTCGCGTAGTTCCGAGTCTGGGAGGAAGCTCAGCTCCTGGAAGAGCTCGCGATCGAAGCCGGGCGGCGGCGAGGCACGCGAGCCCCCCGCGCACCCCGCGCCCGACCCCGCACCACCCTCCGCCGTGACGTGCCCGAGCCAACATCGGCCCCGCCCGCCTCACCAAAACCACCCCCCACACACTTCAATATCACTTGAATTTGTCCACCTTTATATAATTCACGAGTCTACCAGTTATATGTCCGACGGCGCAGTGACTTTTAACGGACTCCAATATCATACTTACACAGCCCTAAAATAAATATTGATCGTGACGACACCGGCGTTAAATATATAGTCGTGTTCAACATTATTATAAATACTAGCGATACATAATAAGTTGTGTAAGCATTTGCTTTAAAGCCGATATAACATAATATGTTAATTCTGACAAGGTAAAATAACGTCTCTAATGTTTTTCTATTTGGCCAAGCATCCGAACTATTTAGATGAGATTAAATGGAATACGGCGAGACTAAAATATCTGACGAATACAATGCTTTACCTAACTATAATAATAAATAAACGAGTATATTGAGTAGATCGAGTGATTTATCCACAATAATTAAATAAACATGACAAGTTTTCCCAACACAAAACATAAGTAACAATGGCTGGTTTATTAAATATTGAAAAACAATGGAAAGTAAAGACAATTCCAGCACATAATTTAAAATGCTATGCGATTGTTTTGCAATATAACGGCATATAACACTAAGATCTCGAACGATTTATTTATTATTTATGTTAAATAGCCTTCAAAGTTTTCACGGTCATAAGGAAAATCTGTTAAACGTGAACAAAAAAAAAATAAAAAGTAAATAGACGGAAATTTATTAAAGAGGTCATTTGAATAAAGTCCTTTACATGAATCTATTAAATTTAATTATTGACATATCAAACAATATGTTACATAGTGAATATTTAGGTAAACATGTTTAACGTGACTGACTTAAAAGTTATCATTATGAGCAAATGACTCTAATTTGAAGCAACTATTTAAATAATAATGCAAACGTATAATAACTCTGTGAAGAATATATTGACCGAGAATTCTATGTACCTAGTAAAAGGTTGGTTTAAATTTTCTATAAAGTTAACCGCAGTCTAGAGAATGGGGGAGTGTTTAAAGGTCGGTCAGCACGTGATTATCTGACGTAAAACAGCCTTGTATCTTAGACGGATACTGTGAGTTTCTTGACATAGGTAACCTACTTTGTATAAGATTACTTATAATGTTAAAAATATACATTTAATTAGTTTTCGACAACAATTCTATTATTAGCGTAAGTAAATGAAAATCGATATTTCAATTTAAAAAATGATTTTAAGATAATTAAAACGTGACGACCAATGCATTTCTATAATTGCTTCGAGGACAGATAAGAAAATAAAAGAATATATAGATAAAGACTATTATATACATTATAATGGACTTTGTACATTAAAATGTGAAAAAAATAATAATAAATAATAAATGATGAAAATAATATTAAATAAAAAAGTTAAATGTTATTAAACATACACTTATAAAGTAAAAGTAAATTGCAGAAACCTGTCCATTGCAAGGTGCGAATGTAACTCGAATTCAAAGTAATATAAATACAATATATTCGTATAATACGGCTATAAAAACTGTTCGCTTAACCAATAAAAATAGCATGTTTGAAATTAAAAATAATTACTATTAAAACATCCATTCACAAAAACAATAAGTAACGAAACTTTAACGACCAACTGAATATATTACAGGTAATTTTGTTTAATTTAGATTTTATAGTTAATTTTATGCATTAAAATTAGACTGACCTACTATTATAGATAAAGATAACAGACGATAAAGAAATGTGGAAGCAAACACGCTTTGACTGTTTAAAAATTTTTGAAACTAAGACATAAAATGTTAAATAATAAGTCCATTGTCTCTGTAGAAAACGAACTTAAGAATACTTTCAACCACAACTTGGTAAACATTTTTGTTAACTTAAAGACTATGAGAGGACCATATGCGGAGAATAAAATCTTTTTTTACGTTTCAATACAAGTGTTACCGTGACGTCATAATATTGAATAAGGCGTAACGAATGCGTTATATTCTTAACTCAAAATATAAGTATGAGTTTTGTAAATATTTAAATATAAAAAAACCTTACGCCCAGATGTCAATAATCCAAATTACTTCATGACTTCTATTATGTTACAACTAAGGTTTTGAACGGAACGATTTCTACATTAACGGTTTGAACATTCGAGGCCAATGTTAAGAACTTTCACGATCAAATGCAAGCATCTGTACAATGGAACACGCGATTCACATATTCGAATTTCGAACGATTATAATTCACAAGCGTCCACTTCCGTCCTCGACCAAGCTGGCACTACGATCTTCACTCGTTACTACGTTCGTGCAGCGATAATTTTTATAATATACGAAAGCAGTTTGACTCTTATACACTTGTAATAGAATTTTTTATCGTTTATTTCTGTTAATGCAGGTCTTTTGCATTATAACAGGTATGCGTAATAATGACTCGATAGGCTTACTGTCTATACTTTATATTGGATTGACATTCCTAAAGTTGTTCATGGAGTTTCATATAAGGCAGTTCGGAACAGCTGTAATTAATTAACAGTTATTAAAGGCAAGAAGCGCTAATTTATGTAGTTAAAAATGCGGTATATTGGTATGTTTTAAAGTATGTACTCAAAATTACATCGCTAAAACATAAAAAGGCAAGAAAAAAAATTAAGAAAACAAGGAGAGGCAATGAATAATGATAGTTATCATCTGCCATTTTATTCTAAACAATGAAATAAAATAAAAGTTAAAAAATGTTTCCTTACTTTGTCTTGCTGATCACATATGTTCTGATTTAATTCCATGATATTTCGATAAAATCTAATCATATTAATATTGCCGTAAGTATTAATTCTATTATAATTTTGTCCTCTTTTTATCGTCATAATTATATATTCTAGTGCGTTATTAGAAAATTTCTTTACAATACTGAAATGTGAATGATTTACTGTACTTAAGCCATTGTTCTACTTTATAGCACACTGTAAATTATACATTTGAACATAGTAATTATGCTCTCACGGTCAAGATAAGATATTCCAGCAGAAGCCCCCGACTGTTGCGGGTCGCGGGGTGCGGGGCTTCGGTCGCCGCGACGGCGCGCACTCCCGAATCCCGAACACTCAATCAATAACCACGCCAACACGAGTCTAAATTTATACAATACGAAACTATACTCTTCTGTTAATACAGAAGACGATTAATAAACCATATAATATCCGATGAACTGAGACAACTAATTAATACTTAATGACTCACAAAATTATGTAATGATATGTAAATCTATATAGCACAAATATCTTTTTACAAACTTATTAATAACACCGCGACGGATATGTTCAGGAACGGCGGTTTTGTATGATAAAAGGACGGTAGCGGTATGGAGCCTGCAGCGGTGCAGGTCTGTAGTCAGCCGGGTAGCGGGTCGTTTGCAGTTTTGCACAAGGGTAGGTCCGCTAGGTGTGGTGTGGTGTTGCGGCTGTGCGCGCGGTTATTGATCGCGAAATACGTACAGACGAGTGGCGAGCACGCGCGTCCCGCCTACCGCCGCGACCGGCACTGTTGACGCGGTGTACCGACGCCGCGCATGCGCACTCACAGCACGCCCGCCGCAACACAGCAATTTACAATTATACGCTTCTTATCTACAAAACGATTTCTACGCTATTCAGACGCCATATACACATACCGAATCGCTAGAGCGAATCTACTATCACTTATATAAGGTCAAGGAGTTATTATTACATTTATTCAAATAACCTGTTGTTAAAATATTGTCACGATAAATATAAGTCTGTCAGTTGTCACTTATAAACTAAGTAACAAAAATATGATTGTATCTCAAACCGTAGTTTCAATATTGATATTATCTAAAGAAAGTAAATACGAATTGATGTAATTTTGATACTTTCGAAACGCGAAAATATTAATTGAACCAGATTAAATACATATAAAAATTATATAACAAATATAAGTGAAATATTAAAATATAAGATATTAAGAAAAAAATAAAAAATATAAATAATAATGATCAAATGATCGAATCTAAAAATAATTTTATGCGAATGTATAAATGTGTCAGATAGCGGTCCGCCATATTTAGAAATCAAAGTTCAAAAATGAATTAGTTCTAGAAACAGTGACATGAACTGTCATAATTACTTTGCATTTATTTAACTTGGTAAGGAAGAATAAAGATAACATTAAAAATAATAATAATGTTTGTTCTGTAATCAAAAATTTTGAAATTAAAAAGTATATCAAAACTAATAATAAAGAAAGCTAATAGAATATTAATTACCTTTATTAGTAGTTAAATTCTAAACATGTATATTCATATTTCTTACTTTTATTCAATGAGAAAAAAAAATATAATATGCAACATTTTAAAGGGAACAACTGCAAACGTTTTAATATATCTTCTAAGATTGAAAATTACTGTTGTGTTCTGGAATTTCTTTCAATATCAAAATGCATATATGTATATGTTTGGATCTCCGAAAAAATTAAATTAAACAATTAATTCTGTATAACAATTAATTCTGTATTAAATTAAACAATTAATTCTGTATAATATGTAATTCCCTCAACCATCGAATACACAATATTTATTTAAAATGAAAAACTTAGGCATAATCATGTATACAAAGAAGTATTCATATTTCTTATTATATTTATTTTTATATTAGGTAGTACTTGTCATTGAAATGTTAAAAACTCTTTTCTAATCAGTTAAAATAATTTAAAAACGGAGATAGGTAAAGAAGAAGGATTTAAATATGTATGAGAAAATATCAAATTGGTGCCATTATAACGAATTATGCATATACAGGGTGACTGGTGAATTACTATCAATATTTAAGGAGCATACTCGGTACATGATTCTCATTCGAATTATGTAAAAAAAATAGGTACTTAATTTTTGACCAAATTTCCGTATAAATAAATAAAGTGTGTACATGTTCCAAGTGTTCCAAGTGTGGACGCGTGCGGCGGCGTGCTGATACAACACCACGCCGCCGCCGCGTCTGTGTGTGTGTGTGTGTGTATACCTAATCTGTAGGGTGTTCATACGATGCGCAATTAATTATATAACTTTTGGTTAACTTTACTTAGAAGTTTATTAATATTTATGTTATATTAATTTTTATTTTGTCATATATGATCGTCAAATATCACGTCCTCAAATATGGATAGTAATTCACCAGTCACCCTGTATATAAATAACTTGTACTTACGAAAATAGTTGAGCGTCTCCCTGATCTGCTCAGGTGTTAGTGCAAGGTCTTCCTGGCTGACTGGTAATGCTGGTGAAGGTATGAACCAGTCTTGATTTTCGTAACCTGGAATAGGATTCATATTAAACTACACGCAATAACATTTGATTACACTTTATAAGTTCACTTCAATACAACACTATAAAGGTAAACACAGAAATGAATACGGTGTCTATTTTAGAGAACCTTATACAGTTAATAAAATCATAAGTATTATAATATATTATAAAATAATATTATATTGTATAATAAATAGTCGCTGTAGTCGTCTACGTCAGAGGAGCGTTGTATCACACCTACATTCCCGTACTTTCAATCCAGTCCAATCAAGTTTTTTTTGATACCACGTGACTTTATCTATGGAAACTAGAGGCCCTTTTTACGATCTTCATTAACTGATTAAATCTCGATTCAAACATTCTCAATATTTATTTTCTTAACTGTTGTTTTATTTTTAAAATTCGTATATATCAAAGTAATTTATGTGTGCAATTAACGGTTTTTTCCTTTTTGTTAAACTACCGTCGTGCACCGTAAGTAGAATCTATGTATATATCTTGGCCATTATAGGATTCCTGTAGGCTCGTACGGCATTCTAGTAGTTGCAGCCGGTCGGTATGCGGTCGGGAATGCGACTTGGTCTGCGGACGATGACTCTTGGGATGACACATTATTATTTATAGCGTCATCAGCGAGCTGGCGCCGGAAACTGTCTCACCTATACTGGGACGGAAGACCGCTTATTCCGCCTTCTAGTATTGGGTTGCATATAACATTAACGCTTTTTAATCTGATTTAATTTCAATGATATATGTTTTTTATTGGAAGAGGAAACCACACTTATTCTAACATTTTTTTTTATCTTGCTACGTGCATTTGTCGATAATAGTGAAAATCATTGGATATTTCCAAAAACATACTCTCAGTATGATCATAAAATTACAGATACATATTATTTTGATAATAATCTGATAAATTGCATACAAATATATCAAATAGAAAAGATTAAGTAGTTAACATTTCGCACATGACTTATTATAGATAATGGAAATGAATAATGTATGTTTAATCTTTATGTTAAATGGACAAGAAAGTTTGTTTAGAGTTAATGAATTTTGTTACAGCCGAAGTGAAATCATTAGAAAGCACACATTTAAGTCACATTAGCTTTCCTTGTCGATTTATTTATATGAATAGTGCGTAATAATTAACGATAACCAGCGACAAATGAGCTGCGTCTTCCGATTGTCTTACAATATGCGAGTGTTTTATGCTAGAGAATAATTAAAACAAAAACGTTAGATAAAAACTATACTGAAGGTCGAGTTGACTGATTCCTGAATAATTAAGGTTTTTATTGAATCATGAGGTAAAGAAAACGTTGGTTTTAAAGCTTAGATAAATAAATAGAATTATAACGTCCTTTGAATTAATATAATAAAATTATTGTATATTTTACTTCGATCACGAAATTATTACCTCTTAATCAGACCGCATACAGGCCGAATTCTCAAAAATAAAAAATTATGTTTGCAGAATTCATCAAAAACATTTGTATAATATTGAATAAATTCATTTTGCGTCGTTTAAGACTTTTATAAATATATTTATTTTTAAATGAATTGAATCAAGATGTTATACTATCGATATAAAGATAATAAAAGTATTGGCACTAGGAAGAGACGTGTCATATATTTATAGAAACTAAAAGTGCGTCTAATAATATCGTATTTGGACAGCGGAGTCAGAGCTCTAACATACACCTGATAGGTGGGCCTTATAGACCTACAATAACACACTTCGTCCGCGTTAGTTTCGTCATACTAATACATAATGTATATAATTATTCCGTCTTAGGCCATAAATAATCAGGTTTTTCCTGTTTAATCGAAAGATGATTGACATATGTAGTCAAATCTAATGTCAAAAAAACGTTTGTATGGGAAATAGAAAAGGGCTGTTTTTAGGGTTTTAATGCAATTATTCCAAACTCATTTTTATACCTTACAACGACATTTCAAACAGACAAACAGCTGTTCTCGAGTTTTAGGAACAAATCATTTTTCGATATATATAAGACAAAATTATATAAGAAAGACATAACAAACAATATAGAATACGTATAGAATACGTTCAAATACATACATTTGTAGGAAATATTGCGACAGAATACAATCTTTATAAATTATAAGACAAATTTCAAAGAAAGTTAAATTAATTTCTACTAATATAGTGTTATACTTAATATTATTCATTTGGCTTGTAATAGGTTTTATCTGAATTGATAAAAAAAATGTATACCTCCAAACTGTGTGAGGCTGTCAGCTCGCAGTCTGTACTTTGGTATGTGTTCTTGAAGGAGGCTGATGATCTCTACTTCTGGCACCTCCTCGCTATTGCACAGCTCTGTTAATACATAATAAATACATTAAAAATATTATATAATACATATCTATACATATATGAAATTAATATGTACTTCCATTGTTTTAGTGTGAATAATTGAAACAATTAGATTTTATTTCATCTCGTGGAATTGTAAACGAATAACAGATTAAGTATAAATTTAATAATAAAATTAAAAATTACATTAATTAATTGATTTGGGAACATACGAGATACCTATAATGTTTTATATCAGAATAACTAATCAATAGAAAGCTACAGTATATAAGTCGTCGTGAACGGAGAATTTGTCGCGTCGCAATTCCCGTGAACTTATATCAAGTTAGATATGTCTGGTGGCTGCAGTTAGTTTGGTACAGGGCAGACAGAATCAATACTCTGAATGCCGCTGACCGCGCCATCTACAGACACGAGACTAAACTCACACTATACCCTTACTTATATTACGACTAGAGGGTAAATCATAAATCCCATAAGATTTCCCCCATACATCATATTTTATATAAATAACTCTCGTGCCTCATAGTCAGGAAAATGTAATATGAAACTGCAAAATATTACTATGAATAGGAAAAGCTTTGTCTCCACAATGATGGTAATAATCTTGTAACTTGTTGAGCAAGTGAATTATTTGTTACGTTTAACAATATTTTACATATGTATATAAATTCTCATTGAAGTTATAAATCATGAAATGTATTATATTAATTATACAACCTCCTTACATAATTGTCTATTGCTTTATATACTGGTGACTATTGTTTATGGTCATTACTTAATCATTATGCGTGGATACCAGGCCCTATTTTACCCTGTTCGTAATATAATCGCGGATTGAACAAGAAAGCCCAATTAAAGGGAGCAAAGTAAGAGAATGTTCGAGAATGTTCACTTAAAATTCTTTATGTATTGCGTTACTAAGTGAAACGTTAGTTTTGCATATTAAAATGATTGGTAGTATAATTGAAAATACATGCCATTTTCCTTAGTCGTATATTATGTTTTTCATATAATAAGAAAATATTTCTTTGTTATAACGCAATGTTATGTATATGTTTAATCAAATATTTTAGTCACTAATAATAATTCTTTTCTTTGATACAAGTCATAATTACCTACATATTTTCTCAAAACTAAATTCTAGAAAATAATATTGAAAACACGCATAATATCCTTCGATTATTCTAATTTTTATATGTTTTTTATAGTTACGAGAAATCATGATATTTCCTTGTAGTATTATAAATTAAAAATTATAAATTATCAAAAAATCGCTTCATGTAATGAAATATTATGATTAGATTATAACTTGAAAATTTTTACTAGCGAAATATTTTTAAGTTCATAGATTTCAAGCATTTTAATATATATTGTTTTGTATTAATTTCATAAAAATCTATCTAATCTATATCTTCTATATATATAAAAATGGATTGCTGTTCCTTAGTCTCGCTAAAACTCGAGAACAGCTGAACGGATTTATCTTATCTTAGTCTTGAAATGTTCGTGGAGGTTCAGGGAAGGTATAAAAGCTGAAAAAAATTGATTCATTACTGGGATAACCATAAAAACAGCCCTTTTTTATTTCCCCTACAAACGTTTTTTTTTTTTACATTAGATTTGACAACTAACTAATATGTCAATCATTCTGTCGCACTTCAAAACACGGAGATTTATGGCTTACAGGTAAACTCCAAAAATATATATAAAAAAACGTAATAGATATTTCTTGATTATAGCGCGATACAAAGTTCGCCAGGTCTTCTAGTATGCATATAAAAATGAATTGCTGTTCCTTGGTCTCACTAAAACTCGAGAACGACTGAACGGATTTATCTTATCATGGTCTTGAAATGTTCGCGGAGGTTCAGGGAAGGTTTAAAAGCTGAAAAAAAATTATTTATTTCCGGGAAAACCGTAAAACCGCGCTTTTTTATTTCCCATACAAACGGGTTTTTTGACATTAGATTTGACAACTAACTAATATGTCAATCATTCTGTCGCACTTTAGAACACGGCGATTTATGGCTTAAAGGTAAACTGCAAAAAAATAATTAAGAAATAATTTATTTCTTGATTGAGGCAGTACGAAGTCTGCCGGATCAGCTAGTAATAACTAAATTAGTAGATGTCAAGAACCTAGTATGTATGTCATTTAACGTTAAACCGTAATCCTCGTCTCTTGTTAACGAGTTTAACACACATTAACAATAACAAACTAAATAGCTCTAAAGGTTTTAATTAAACACCAACAAACATATATATATATATTTACGTAACAGTAGTAGAAAGGAAAGTAAGCCATTTTTAATATAGATTAATATGTAATCGAAAATAAACATTTTATATGATTTCAAATAAATTTAAAGATTCTTAATAAATTATTGAACATTTTAGAAATGTTGAGCTTAATTATAATATTGAAAAGAATTAATTTATTAATTATAAGGATTAATAAATATTAGGTATCCAGTATAAACAGTCTAAAATAATCGTTTTTTATTACTGTTATTACATATTTACTTATGTATGTATTATTACAAACTTTATTTCTTAGATACTGAGAAAATCTGCGATTGAGGATAAAATAAAATAAATCCCCAAATCAGTTTTATTGTTAGTATCCAGAACTTCCTGTAACATATGATGTGAATATTTTATAATAATCACAAAATTTAATAAGGACTTTGGTTTTGATCATAAAATAATAGATAAATAGGTACGTTTTGAAAAATGCATTGAATGAACAATATAATTTGACATTTAGTTTTTTTTTACCTCTGTACTTACTCCATATTTTTTTTCAGCGATTCATACGTAACCATATTTAAGAGATCACAATAATATAAATTATGGATAACTACCACCAAGCAATTGTTACGATTTTATCAATAATAAACTCCTTAAAATAATTAATTTTAATATTAATAATCGATGTTGTGTTTCAAAGATTTCATATACAGGGTGACTGGTGAATTACTATCAATATTTAAGGAGCATACTCGGTACATGATTCTCATTCGAATTATGTAAAAAAAATAGGTACTTAATTTTTGACCAAATTTCCGTATAAATAAATAAAGTGTTGACACGTTCCAAGTGTTCCAAGTGTGGACGCGTGCGGCGGCGTGCTGATACAACACCACGCCTCGCGCGCGTATGTGTGAGTGTGAGTGTATACCTAATCTGTAGGGTGTGCACACGATGCGTAATTAATTACATAACTTTTGGTTAACTTTACTTAGAAGTTTATTAATATTTATGTTATATTAATTTTTATTTTGTCATATATGATCGTCAAATATCACGTCCTCAAATATCGATAGTAATTCACCAGTCACCCTGTATAACGGATGTATTCTACAAAAATATTAAATATTACAAATACAAATAGAGAAAACGATAAATGATTAAAATGTAAACAATATTTACAATATACATATTAACATACTTGGCAACTCGCTAGACGCTTATATCATATCACAAAAAAATAAGTGATATCATTTTATTATTTGTGTTGTTTAAATTTGTTATATTAAATTAATAAGGCTTTTCTTAGATATAAAAATCATTCTAGATGAATTATTTATTTAAAATCATAATAGTCACATGAATATAAAAAGAAGAGTTATAAAGAAAAATGTAAAAGTGAATGATCCGAAAAACTTAAATGTGATATCGTTTTGAAATATGAGTAGCAGAGTAGTAGTAAAAATATTAAAAACTATTTAAAAAATCTTTACACATTCAATTACATTTAATGGCTATACTGAGCGTGAGCTACTTTTTAGATCATACGCACTGGCCCATGGGCCAGTAATAACTCAATGAGTAATTTTGGAAAACATCTACTATTCTTACATCGCTACCATGAAACTGACTTTCAAATAACAAAAACCGCATCGAAATTAACACTTCAATTAAAAGTTATAAAGTATTACGAATATCATAAAAGAAACTATTCAAATAAATACCCGAACAATATCATGCGTAAAGTAATGTATACATATTATGTATACTCTCTCTATTTTAGGTAACATATTTCGACCACTAAGATAAATGGGATGCTTTAAATCCCGACTTCAGATTTCACTCGTAAATAAACCTGATTTTAGTAACGGTTTGGTCTAGTAAAATACCGATAAAATTCCCAAAATTACATAGTCTCTGCAACAAAAACATTACATTGTATTTCTCGATCCGAACTCATTGAATACATAATCTTTAAAACTAGGAATGATTAACATTGTTCCATCTCTCTCATTAAATAATTCGCGTCTATATTACTTCTACCACATACAAAAACTTGTTATATTATCGCTATTAACATTATTTTGGTACCATTATTCGATATATTAACAATAAAAGTGGTTAATTTGAATAACAAAGAGTTGAATTACCCACTATCTGTTTGATAAAAGACTTTCCATAACACAATCAACCTACCGTCGCTCCATGAGAATAGCAAATCCTGCTGCCTGTCTTGGAAAACGTCCCGACGTCGTGGACGCGGTCTCGATCTTCCTCCACTCATAATTATATAACATGGAAACCGGCAGCTAGTATTTGAGAAGTCACATCAGAACACCAAAATACACCGCCGTGAAATTGTGTACGTGCACTTGAAACTGTTTAAGTTATAATCATTCGCGTTTTAATCTAGATACATGATAATGGGTAGGACGTCATAGATTCGATAATGACAACAAGTACATCGCTAATGGAATGGATTGACGACAATGACAATATTTTTTGTACTGTAACAAAAACCTATAGTATTCTTAACTAGCGTAATGAAAGTCAAAATTGAGGGAACATTTAAAAACACTATCAATTTAAAGAACGTTAACGAATTTTTTTCCATTACACGTAATTTTATCGTGTATGGAAAAGAGGATTATGATAGCGATAAAAATTTATACTAATCGAAGAATAGCTAGTGTAAAAGGTCTATAGAAATAGAAATGATGCCGAGGCCACACGCATAGTTCACTTGCGGAGGCGTACGGTCGACGCACTCAAAGCGTTAATAAAAATAAGGATGTCGTCAATATGTTGGCAACACACACTCATACTCGGGTCACCTCTGAATCAGCTGTACCCCATGACTGATTATACATATATACACATTACAAAGGTCTGCTCAATTAAGAAAAATTAACGTTTTATATGAGACTAACAAAAGGGCAATGACGTGTTTTTGTAAGTTGTTTTGTGTTTGTCACACTTTTGGTCAAAAAAATTCTTATTGTCTGCTTCGTATATTAATTATCAGCAAATTTAATTATCTAGAGCATCTATTTCCTAAAGATAATATTATCTACCGAAACTAAATCTAGTGTTCAAGCAGACGTTATATAAGAACATTCTGAAACTAGTTCGACCAAACGCCTACCTATTTAGCTTGACCCATTAAAAGGAAAACGTTCTACATACATTATTTCTGAAACATTATCCGTAATGCTAAATGGTTATGTTTAATTTCAACACAATGAGACTTCGGTATTATGATGGTAATATTTACATAGTTCACGAGCATAACAAAGCTATCGCTGGAGGCGGCTGTCCGGTTATGTAACAGACTTGGAGATATTGCACACAATGTAACAAGATCATAACGGTATTATTTCCTTACAAGTGTGTGAACTTTAACAGTAGATAAACGAACATAGGACAGTCGTATCCTTAGTAAAATTTCAGCATATGTCAGTTACTACATGCTGGCAAACGGTTTCATAAACTTGAAACGTTGGCATCACAGAGCGTTTATGTAATGTTATTTTAAATACGTAATCATAACCTAAACATATATAATGAATATTTTATTTAACAGTCATAACTAACTAGTCTACTCAATCATAATTATTTCAGTTAATGAATCACCTATTAGAGATAAATATTTATAAAATGTTAATATATATTTTCACCATATACATTCAAACGAAATAGCGTTTCTTGTTAAACTTCAAGCAACCGAACGGGCCATTAGTCAAGCTGATGTCGTTGGAATGAACATTAAAACGTCCGTCTGCAGTCAACAGAGATAAATAAGGTTAACGCGTTGCAGGCCGCGGAAAGATATGGCCGTTGTCGGTGAAGACGCGGCGTGCGACTGTGATGCGCTCGCGCCCGCCCGCCCGGAATAGTTTCTGGCTTAAAGCCAATACAAAATTTTCAAGAGATTCCCCCATTCATAAGAACCGAACATAAGCTTTCATTGTACGACTTTGACGTGCTATATAAATTTTCAATGACAGATGCTGTCATGATAAACTTCAAGTTAACTCCGGAGACATACAGAATATATAGTATGCTTCTAAATATAAATTGTTTTACGTAACAAAGGCAATGACGGAAAAAACAACCTTGTGTTAACCATAAGGAAAGTTATAACAAAAACACCGAGAGTTACAAGTCTCAAGTCAACTTGCACTAAGTAAATTTTCTACTGAATAACATGGGACGCTACTGCACTGTAAATATTGCTACTGTAATACGATAATAATTATTTAACTAAGATAATATAACCTCGCTTAATGTTAATTACAGCAGTCAGCAAATATTAAATAGACACTCACTACTGTTTCGCAAAGCGCAGTAACTTATAATATTCCTTAATTTCATTTGTTCTACGTTTTTATAAATTTACTATCACTAAGAAGCGTAATAAGATAATTGTCCAAATCGGATTAGTTTTTCAACCGGTAAATTTCTTTCGCATTATGATACGGTTTAGAAAAAATAATTGTATTTTATTGTTACTTTGTAACTATTTTTATCAAAATAAATCTACATGTAAATAGAATCTTTATTACATAAGGGAAAAAATGAAATAAAATTATTTTATTCCTTCAAAAGTAAATGATATCGGATTTCAATTGCACTATAGTATTTATTTATTCTTTAAACCTAAATAAATATCTGAATGCTATGATAAAAATGGTATTTTATTTGTCCCTTAAAATATATGTATTTTGGTGCTTTATAAGTAAGTTATAAATTAAAATCCCGGACGCATGCTGCTGCACAAAATGCAATATCTAAAGAATATATACACCTCAAATACTAGTTTCAAAGATAAAAAAAAAAACAACAATGACAAACAAAATCGGCACTTAAGGTCCTTTTAAGGTAACTGTTTTTCTCATTTTGAGATATAGAAATCTACAAAAACAATACGCCCAGACGGTAAACGGCGTTGTTTCTAAGTGCAAATTAGTGTTGTAGGTAGAAACTTTGGAACTAATTTTCAAGCGATTATTAGAAAATACCGACTTTAAAATTAGTTCCAATGAAAGCGAGTTAACTCAATTTTCTATATTTATCTGTTAAGGTTAGTCGTTTAAGTTTAATAAAAGTATATTTTGAACATTACATTTTAATGTTGTAGTTCTATTGTATTTTATAGAAAATATTTAAGTTTACAATGAATTATTTAATTATTGCCTTATTTCAGGTAACATAGAATTCTTATCTTGTAAAAGTCCTTGTCCTCGGTGTTAAAATAGTCAACAACTGCCCTAGAAAAACTTTAATTTTTTCCCGTTAGATAATTTTGCAGAGATCTAAACAGGTAATAGTCTAGTGGTACAAGGTCGAATAAATACTAAGAACTTGCCCTTTTAACGCATTTAATTTTTGTAGTGTCATCAATGCAATATGAAGCGGAGCGTTCTTTTACTGGAACACCATTCTTTTTCTGGATGCTAATCCTGGCCTTTTTTCTTTGGGTAAATTTATTTAGCTGATTGCAGTACAGATCCACGTTGATGGTTTTTCAATGTTTGAGCTAACGTAGTACACTATAACTTTACTTCCCCTTTACAAACTAAGCGGTAATTTTCATTGATGGATATTTGGTTTTGAATCTTTTTCTAATGATGTTGCTAGTTTGCAGTAAGATATATCCTTTTAATATTCTTGTAAAGAATCCGCTTTTCATCGCCAATAACCAGCTTGTGCAAAAAACGGCTCGACGTTGTGCTTAATCAAATGTGATGAACATATTCTTACACAATCAGACAAATTCATGGGACACACTTTCTAATTTAACACAAACTCAAGAGATTTTATACGAACTCCAACAGTTGTATGGTGAATGCCAAACTCTTCTCCAATTTCCTGATTTGTTAAACGTGGATTATTTTCCAAAATAGATTGCAAAATATCTTTTTCAATCTTGGAAGAAAGTCTAACATTACTTCCTTCGAAGCTCAGATTCCCGGAACGAATTTACTAAATCATCTTTGACAAGAATGAAAATACAATATTTTTCTTAAACATTCCACACAAAAATTTAAATAAAACCGATACGTTGCTTCCTTTTTGTAATTCATACAAAACGCTGTGTCATAAATGCACTTTATCTACTGATATGTTTTTCACTTCAAATATCACTAGTGAAAGATGAAAAAAAGCATTCCTTTTATATTATACAGCAGATAAATAAAAAAAAATCAAGTGACTCACTAATCAGATGCTATTTTTATTTACAAGAAAAATTATCTGTTATTTAAAATACGAACAAAATATCATAGATTTGTCAATGTTTTCGGAGATGCATTTTTTTCATAATAAAAATCTAAGCCATCAAATATCATAGAACTACATCAATCAAGATCCATCCTCAACACATTATCACGACACATCAACTTTAATTCATGTAGATATTTCATGAAGCACTCAGAAAACTTATGGGAATCGATGATAGAAAATATTGAATATGAGCGTCATCTAGTGTGAATTTGCTAAGTCAAATAAAATAAAAAATAAACATTCTAAATTTCGCCTAAAATATTAGTGCTGTTTCACATTTTCAGTGCTTTTATGAACAAGTAAGAGTATGGGATTTCTGGGTGTCAAAACAGTAAAGATTAGTAGAATAGGGCTAGATAAAACTGTATATCCTAGATAATATTTCTCACGATACTTGCTTTTGCCATACAAGTTACAGGATAGTCACCGCGTGGAGTGTTATTATAATACAACTTTATACATTTCCATAATGAAATAAGGCTTTCGCGAGAATTTATTTAAATGCAACTAATATTTTTCGGATTATACTACGCGTATTTTATTATTTAAAAAACTACATACTCCAGACTTTTCGGTTACTTGTCCGCAACTGATGATTACGGGCAGACGAGATCAGAACTCGTATAATTCGAAAAATATTATTTCTCATTTATATATTTCCTTCAACGTGTTCATTTTCACTTCCTATGAATAGTTTAGAACAATAAAGCCTCGGATGTATTTGGCGTGGGCTTTCTGTTTTTGTTTCTTTTACTGTTGAAGATTTTTTTGAAATACGTCTTTGTTTTACAATCGCACTGTTTCATCGCAGCTACTGCATATACGAAACTGTACTGTAATTTTATTATATACACTTTGTTGATTTTCACATCCACATTTAAGGAAAACCATGGCTTAATTTTCCTCCTGAGTCAACTCTTCCTTTATCTACTCATCATATTCAATAAAGATCAGATAACCAAATCAAAATATTCATGTTCTTTAAACATCACTTAAATACTCAAATCACCAAAATCTGACTTGTCTATCTAAAGAAAAATATGATAAAACTGTTCCAACAAATTTAATATGGTTTTTTCTTCATAGTAAACTTTAAAAAGATATATGTTAATAAAAACTACAATAATGAAAAAACTAGGAAATTCCCATAATTGGTGACGCGAACCCCAAGGTTTTTGTAGACTAGTCAGGAGGGTGCTGGCAACATGATTTAATATAAGTCTCCTATATACATTTTTGTATTAATTTGTATTCATATGATACGGGGTTCCCTTATATAAAAGTTAGTGTTCCTTTATTATGAAAGTTTACAAGACCCTGAATTAAGCTACGTATTTTTGGTACTTTCATTAATAATTCAACTGTTTCAACAACATTACAGGAAAGACATTGAACGTTTAACTAAGAACGATACCGTAGTTTAAAATTATTACAATGCATATTTATTTATATAATATGATATCAAAAAATTAAAATAAGGTTTCTTATACATAATACGTAATTCCAAAGCGAAAAAATCCCAAAACAAACAGAAACTCAACAAACATCTCAAATTCTGTCAGACTATTTGAATAAGAAGTCAACACACTTTATACGTGTTGAGTACTTATTGCATGATAAAATATTTATTCAAATTTTGGGATTCTTATTCTCTCTTTTCTAACGCCAGCCACGCCTAAAACATGACTGAGCGTGATCAATATTCAAAGTGACTTTGAAACCGAGTACCGAGTGGTTGGAGTAACCGAGACATATAAGAGGAATATTTCCTTCAATAGGACTAACATATCAAGTATACGATAAAACTTTAAACTTCTATTAATATTTTAAACTAAAATCAGTTTTAATGTTTGCCGTATTAATAATACTACTGTTATTATTTCCGAATTCAGACTACACATCGTAAGTTAACAATAATAACCAGCCTCATGATTAAGTCAAATGATGTACACAAAATAACAGTCCGAGAAGTATGACCTCAGTTTAACAAATTAATAGCATGACTCATGAACGCGAACAACTCACTGGAACCGTGCGAGTTGTATCACATCAATTCATTGAATTCGAAAAATTTAGGCATACACATGAAGAATTGTTGAGTAAAAATTTGAGATAATCTTTAACATATAAGTTTTTTTCATATTTCACTATATTGATAGTTATAAATCCATAGCTGTATTTAAACTGTCACAAAGTAAGACAATTTCATCCATCAAGAGCCTTACAAATAAATTTTATAGTGTCTATGAAATTTACTTCACCTCACCATTTATTTTGTGGATAAAAACAGATGATGTCATTAGTGATGTAATCATTAATCAAATGAGTTAAATAAAACATTAAACTCAAGTCATTGTATAGAATTATATAAGTATAACATAATGCCATACTAAGATAAAAAAACATCTATTTAAAATATTTTTACCTAGTTATTAAAAAATTTTTGCTCTAACTCTAAGAAAATATATAGCTTATATTTATTTGCCTCATAATTTCTCTAATTTATAAAATGTGAAATAATGAAATGAATCACCACTCAATTCTGAACCTCAAGTAATGTGCCTTGGGCTTTCCTTTCACTTGTAAACAATCTACTTATCAAATATAAATTATAATACACATTAGGAATTAGACAGTTACTTGGGGCTACTTTAGTCTTTTATTTTTGAGTTCAATACTACTTTCAATTAAACCACTACTCAAAAAAAAAAAACATTTTTGTTACCTAATAAACATGTAGTAATGTTATAACATTTATATTATTATAGTTGTTCACACATTTTTAAATAACTTAGTATCATATTTAATATTATTGGAACTTACAAAAAATCATTTAATCGTATTGAATATTTAATACAAAATATGAGTGTCTAAAACATTCAAATATATATGAAAGGCTCCTAAATCTAAATTCATAACTACATACATTCTATACCGAGAAAAAAAGCTTTACCTGTCGAGGCCGTGTCAGTTAGCACTGACGGGGATACAGAGAATAATAAATAATAACTGACCTGTGATAGTAGCGACGTGGCGTGTTGTGCGCGGTGCTAGCGAGGGCGCGCGAGCCACATCCTGAAGGGCCGCCAGCTTGACGGACTACCCTGTCAATAACATACAGCATATTACAAGAAAATACTACAAAAATGTGACGAACTGACACATATTTGAATGTTTTAATAAATGAAAGAAAGCTTAAATGAATATTATTATTTGATGTATATAGAGATCTGTAGATATATGTTCATACTTAATAAATAAATGTAAGCGAAGCCAAATTCATACAACTAGTGTCTTATGTTACAAAAATAATATAATAGCAATGTCGTATATATTTTTCTATATAGTTTCAAAGTTTCAATGGTACAAGATGTGTAATGTTCATTAAGATATCTTTAAGAATATGCATTTGCACAGATTACATAATCTTATCTCTGTATATATTATCTCAGCACTGTACCGACATAAAATCAAAATTGCATCTTAAAACAATAATTACAATACAAAATAAAAAATACAAAATAATAATGTAAAAATGTTCTAAAGCCTTTAATGTTCTGGTACTTGGAAGTTAAATACCTTTAATGTCAGTTATAGTTATTTACTGAGGAACATGTATCATACCTCTTAGAAATTAAATATAACTTACATTCTTAAGCCAAAATAACAATATGTTCTTAATATGCTAAATGTACCAAATTAAGAATTGTGAAACAGTTTTATAAAAAAAGCAAACATAAAATGTTGATTTGAATATAAAGATAGCTAGCACTTACAATCTTATTTCTAAAACTGGTCTAGGTGCCTGTTATTTGAATCCTGAAAATATAACTTTCGATACACAAAATTGTATGAAATTAAACAGTTCCAGAATAACTCTTAAGAGCAAGATTTTATACGATTAAGAAAAAGTCTACTTAGTAAAAAATTATATCTGACAATAATTCTAAAATTCAGAACATAGCGGATAACCAGAAGTCTATTCCAAAACTGTAGTTACTATTTATAAATCACAACGCTAAACTGAATAATATGAATAATACATAAATAAATATTGTAAACAAAAATATTATTTGAATTTCGAATAATTTTAAACTTACTATCATTTTAACATCATCGCTCCTGATAGGAACCCTGACCTTGTTTGCAGTTATCCATTGTCTTAACACCATAAGGTTCTAATTTTATAAACAAAAATCGCAATACGATACTGTAAGATTTTAAATAAAACACTATCAGAAAAACCACAACTAAATGTCGTTTCTATCTCATTGAAAATTATGAAAACCTAGGTCCACAAAGTTGACTAAAAGTAATACAGATAACAGAACATCCACTTACAACAGTCACAAAATTTTTACTGCTTCTCTCAATGCTTTACAATGATTGTCTCTGATCGTGTGCGAAATAAACATTATTAACAAATTTAATAAAAAAAAAATAACAACTTGATAAAAATATGTGTATAATATTTAATTAAGAAATTTTAAACTACCGTAAATTATTCTTAACTTTTTAAAATAAATTCGGAATCATCAAAATTATTTAAATATTTCACTACTTATGTACTAAGCTAATACAGGATAAAATTTTAAATTTTATTTACAAATGCATGATTAAGGGACAGGTATGTTTAAAGTTTGTTTATATTAAAATTAGTATAGATTGATTTCATTTTTGAATGTTTATGGGGCAACATTAAAAATGTTTGGCCTTTGATTATTACCATAATACCTGTTATATTATATAATATGCTACAAATTCTTTCAATAATTTCATTTTTTTGTTGAAATTAGTTTTACCCTATTTTAACATGATCACGATGAAACATGACAAATGCACATATTTTTCATTATCTGTTTTATATTTATCAAAATGAAGAATTTGACAAAATAATTAAAACAATATTTTTAAAAACTTTTTATAAACAAAATAAAAACTATAACGATCATTGAACTTTGAAATACTATAAAACTTAAGACTATGATAGAAATACCTGTAACAAAATTAATATTTTGTTTATTTTTATGATCAATAAAAAGCCGTTTACTATGATGTTTGGCCTGAATTCGTAGTTATTAATACTTTGAAATTAAATTTACTTAAATTTTGTTCTCAGGACATAATACCTAGTTCACGCATATGAGAACTAATGAACAATTTTACATCAAACGTGACCCTGTCTGTCTTTTGGATACCATGGAAAAGTTTATACTAATAAAGCACAAAAGTATTCATGATAATTTTCAGTGAATAAGTTTTAAAAATATCTGATAAAAGAAACATCTTACCTTCAAATATAATTATACTAAAGATAACACCTATTATAACAATGTAAGCGAAAGAAGAAATTGCCAAAATTATTGTTAGAGAAGATAAAATAAAACATGTAATTAATGTTGTACAAATAGGAGCCTGAAGTAAATTTGAAATCACTTTATACGCTGCCTTATATATTGAATCTGAAACTGCAATATATACAGGAAGACAAGGTTCTGGAACAATAAATTGTTTTTAATTTGGCAAATTTTTATTACAATATATATAAAAGTATTTTTTATTTAACACCACTTACGCAAGGAAAATTTAATAGCTTGATAAAAAGCGTTGTTTATGTTTATCTCCATACTAACTACCTTATATAATTGTTTAAACGTATTTGAAAATTATTTTTCGAATTGTATATAATTTTTTTAAAAGCGTATCTATTGGTTACAATTTTTTATTGTAAGCTGAATAAGGGTAAACGGTAAAATTATTTTAACATTCTAAATTACGTAGGGTAATCGTTTTGGACAAAGATAAGATCTGTCAAATAAAAAATACATACTTATTTCAATAAAATCGTTATAAATATAATTAATATCATTAATAGTAAGATTTTATATCCAGAATTTAAGGTACCCAAGACGCTACTATGAATATGATAACTTAATATGAATTCGTTACTTTGTTGGCTTTGCTCGATAGTAAGTGAAACACTTATTACTAAGATGTTAACGCTATAAAAATAATAATGGCAACTTTGAATTGGTCGTTTCCTAGATGTCAAAGGACGAAACTAACTTTTTTCGCGCCATTAATCATTGTTTGTGTTTGAACTTTGAAAGATATCAAAAATTTAGTTAAAGAATAAAATATTTAAATAGAAACTATTACTATTACTCAAATTAAATTTGATTTCTCATGAAGTAACAATCTGTCATAATGGTATGTTTTATGCATTGTTTTGAAGTACAATATGCTTAATGTATTTAATTTAAAAATTATTTATTTTGTTACAGGTTGGACAACATGATGAGAACCTACTGCCGGAGATGTTACCTGTGTATTATACCAGATTATTTCCTCAGAATATATTTTGTAGATGGCTTGCTTGTGGCAGTAGCCCACAGCCTCTCTCTAACAGGGAGTTATCATTTACACTAGCTGATGATATATACTTACGGTATCTTTCTATTAACAATCAAAAGGAATTCCAAACACTATTACAAAAGAAGTGCCCTCATAAATTAGACATAGGTGCTGTCTATAACACAAAGTAAGTTGAAATGTTTATATATTTTATTATTTTACCTTAAATAAGAATTTTTTTAAGCGGTTTTCATTTTCATGCTGAAGTATGTAGAGAGAAAAAAGAAATTTAGAAAAGCTACACAGCATTGTTGTTAAGAATGTTCTTGCATAATCATAGTGATCCCAAACTAATAGTTTGTTGACATATTGGCTTGTAATTTTGTATATAAATATTTTGTTAACAATGTTTTGTTAAATAGGCCTTAGGGTGTCTTGAGGTTACTTACTTAATGTAAGTTTTGACTTGAATTTTTATGGATTCACAGGTCATGCAAGACATTCTTATTAAATTATGTAGTTTAGAGGTGTTCTAACAAAGAATCAAGCAGAAGTGCCAATGACTAATATAAATAGTTGGTTTTTATGATAGGATGTTATTAAAATATATATTTACTATGTATATTTAAAGTCTGAAATTGTGTTCAGTTTGTTTTGAATCCCCCCATGAGGTACTCTGAAAAATAAAGCCATATTACATAGCTCATGCAAGAAGTTAAATATAAAAGACTGTTCTGTTGACTATTCTGTTATGAAAATTTATTAGTTAATATTATAAATATTTGGAAATTAAATACCTAAAAATTTAAACAGTAAATTTTTCCTAAAGTCCTTTATCCACAGTGCACTATTTTAATGATTATAGATTTGAAAAAATGCCATAAAATTTAAATGTTTTTATTTCAGGCCATCCATCGGGCGACATGATGCAGTTGTGCTTTCTAGGGAACTTGTATTTGATATAGATCTTACAGATTATGATGAAGTACGAACTTGTTGTCAGGAGGCCAAAGTTTGTAATAAATGCTGGAAATTTATGGTTGTAGCATGTGAAATTATTAATGCTGCTCTCAAAGGTAATGAAGATGTAATTGAATATAATTTCTACATTTATCCTATTTTTATGTATGATTTATAATTATTTCCTTACAAATTTGATATATAATGTTTTAAATATTTTTTCATTTAAATATTTGGAGCCTATCAACCTATATCATTATTATATGTCTTGATTTCAGATGATTTTGGTTTCCAGAATATTCTTTGGGTTTTCTCTGGGAGAAGAGGTTGTCATTGTTGGGTATCAGACTATGAAGCGAGAACACTAGATAGTCCTGGTCGAGCTGCCGTTGCTGATTACCTTTGCCTTATTTTTGGAGGGGAAAATAAAAATAAGAAAGTACATCTTGGAAGTGATAACTTGCACTCAAGTATAAAGTAATGACTTTACTACTAAGTTATATTTTTACTCTAATTCATTTTTTTACTCATTTATCCAATTTCAAATCTGATTAAATATAGATGGTTAATTAGGCTGTGGATATTTGACAAGTCTTAGTTATTAATAATTATAAAGTACATATCCCATGTCTTGTATAAAATACATGTTAATACCAGGGATTTTTGAACTTTTGTAACAGCATATCCTAAATAAGTAACAAAATTTATCAAGATTAGATAATTCATTATTACACACTTTTTGCCAAAAACAGACCAATTTTATCAATAGGTTCTTGATTTAATACTGTTTAAAAATAGTGTATTTTTTTGTGTTAATAAAAATAAATATGTATATTTTTCTGAAAAAAGTAATTAGGTACATCAACTATTTGGCACTCAAAATTCTTTTAAAATAAGTTCAAATGAATCAAAAAACGGACAGATATATATATTTAATATTACAATCAGAGGCTTAAAGCTTATTTATTTGTATTATTAGTTTATTCAAAAATATTTGCACGCCAAATCGGCAGAATATGTTGGACCCACTGTAAATGTATGAAATACCTTTGTTAACCCATATTCGAGCAAATAAACTATTATTATTATTAAATACTATATCTCGATCCCTCATATTTTGGCATCTAGAAAGAAATTAATTCTCATGATAACCTACTTGTTTGGCGAAAAAATCTATATCTTATCATATAATTAATGTAAAACATTGTCATTTTAGGAGGTCTCTCAATATAATTGATAGATATTTCCTTGAAATACTAGAAGACCAAGACTTTTTGTCAACTTCGGAAGGCACCAAAAAATTTCTAAAAATTATACCAGATGACACCTTACGTAAACAAGTTGAAGAAAGCTTCGGTAGAGGATCTTCTACTGTTGATAAATGGGAATGTTTCATACAAACTTACTATCAGTACTGTAAAGAGGTATGGTTGGACTTCTGGAAAAATATTAAGTTACTTTGCTTTTAGACAAATCTTAATTTTTGTTTCATACGAATTGTAAAATTGTCAGCGAAAACTCTATAACCACAGTGCTATATTATTATCTAAGCCTAATTTCTACTTTGCAGAATATTAACGCTATCAGAAAAATGAAATATCTAGTCGAAGAAATTAAAATACAATATTGTTATCCGAGATTAGATGTTAATGTTACAAAGGGATTTAACCATTTACTAAAATCTCCATTTAGTATACATCCTAAGACTGGCAAAGTATCTATAGTATTCAAGCCAGAAAATGCCCGGAGCATGAAATTAGAAGATATACCAACCATTTACAGTCTTCTAGATGATAACTCTCCTGATAAAATTCAACATCAAAATAATATGAGAACAGCTGTTAAAAATTTTCAAGAAGTGGTTTTCTCACTGGAGAAAACTGAAGCAATGAGAAGAAGAAATGATGCTAGTAAGTAGTTTCTTTCATTTAATTATACTGCACGAACTATTTTAATGAGAAAGACGATGTGAGAAATAATTAATTTATAAATTAATATACGTAAGAAAGGTAGAGTAAAACTTAGCCTACAATAAACTTGATCATAAGTGATGTTAATATAGGTACTTAACTGACGGAAAATCTAGCAGACACTTTTATAAATTTTGGAAAAATAGGCTAATTTAAGGTATATTATTTTATGATAAAGTTTGTGACTAGACCCTTGTTAGCTGTAGTTGAAAATATTTTTTGTCGATATTATCTGTACTTTTAAATAGTATATAAAAAAAATAAGTAAAGATTTGAAATCTCGCCTCGATACGGTAATAAATTTTTGATTCATATCTAAAATAGTTAATAATTATCATTACACAATTTGTTCTGACGTAAAAAAAAATAATTTAGAAGAATTATCCACACTGTCACTATAATTTGTTACGTTAATTCTATTTTTATCGGATTACAGCTTTCTAATAAAAATAATAGTGGTTATAGAAGAAGATAATTCAGTTTTTTAACCCTTTATAATATTTTTACATCTTTAGAAACATGCATAAATTGCAATTATCTAGTATATTATATTATTCATGATGAATGTATTTTTTTTTTCAGACACATCTATTGACTTCTAAGTTACAAGAAATAATAATGAGACGCTTACTTCATAAAAAGTGTAATTAAAAAAAATAATGTTGCTTATACATAAAGAAAGATTCCAGTTCCATGTTGTGGTATTTATAATATATACTATAATTAGCATTAAAAAATAAGAAATGAATTGCTGTGTTTTTTTAAAGCCATTTGCACTGGTGGTGATAGAGATTATTATTTATTTACTTTATACCGAGCAACTAAGTGCTATATTGAGGAAATCTTCAAATCCAATTGTGACAGTCCCATTTTGTTGCGTGTCTCTTACTCGGAAGGCTTCGGTGAATCTCTGTATTTGAATGCATAGCACTATGAAATTATCCACTGATATTTGTTTATTTTGTCCCCATCTTTTACTTAGGAAAGCTAATAAAGTCTGGTGAGAAACGAAATCCCATCGTGGATAGAGCTGAAACAATAAATCAATAAGTTTTGTGAGAGATACTTATCAAGTTTGTTAACATTTAATTATATTCTTACCTTTAGACAATTCCTCTTCTTCAATATGCCCAGATTGATCAGTGTCATAAGTTTTGAAAACCGCAAGCCATTGGTTGATGTAAGTGTACAATTTATCAAACTCTTCGACATTTATGTGACCTGTACGATCCTTGTCGAACATACCTTTAGAAAAAAAAAATTAAAACGATGTATTAAATGAACAACTAAAGTCTTGATGTACCTAAATACCCACCCATCATTAAGCTACAAGCTGTTTCTGAAAATGTTTGTCCTTGAGCATTGACCAACGCTGACTTTAGCTCTAACGCCGTAATAAAACCAGAACGATCTTTATCGACCGCATTGAACCATTGCTGTACTTGAGGCGAGATGGTCCCTCCTGTGCCCATAGATGGATAAGGACCGTGACCTATTTCCAGCTGCGCCGGAGATCCTCCATAACCAGGTTGATTGTAACCAGGCTGAAAATATTAAATAAAACATGACTTAGTCATACCTAATAAAAATGACAAAAAAATGTATTTATTTATTTATTTATTTATATAAGGACAAGTAACAAAACATACACCATTTATAAGTTTTAAAAAATAAAGATACAAGATTACATTTTTGCTAAGTGATGTTTCAGTTAAAAGTTATCACGGCATAGATTTTTTTTCTACTTAAATTATACAAAAGGGGACATTAAAATTATACAAAAGGGGAAACAAAAAATACTACCAATACAATATAAAATGTAAATAACAAAAGACAAAAACAAATTACCAACTTATTACTAAGCAATTAAAAATAAATAAAATGAAACTTTTTTTAGATACCAAAAATTTTATAGCAAAAATAACAAACAACTGTAATACAGAACCTAAACGACACAATATAAACGTGATCGATGTACTTTATATGATGTCGTGGTGGCCTGGAGATTAAAGGCCCGCCTCTCATGCATGAGGGCGCGGGTTCGAAAGTACCAATGTGATTTTTCCGGGTCACAACTCACACGTGCTGTCTAAGAGTATTTAGAAACTACTGAGAGGCATTAAAGGAAAACATAGTGAGAAAAACTGGACTTGTCATTAAAAATTATAAGTTTGAAATAGCCAATCTGCCTTCTTTCTAACCTTCTCCATGTGAGAAGAGGGCTTTGCTCAGCAATGGGCACCAAAAGGCTGATGATAATGAGGATATGGCGTGGTGTGTGAGGAAACGTCATGGTGTATGAGGATACGGCGTGGTGTTGTAAATGAGTTTTTCCTGTTGTAGTCACATGGGACTAGGTCTTCTAATAGACTATCAATCGTTAAGCATAAGCCTAGTCCTTTATGTATGTCATTTAACGAGGCTTAATTATTATCAGAAATGTTCATTCCAACTCAGCTAGAGTAGTTCTTTAAAATTAAAAATATGGTTAGCAAAATATAGCGTGGTAGTAAATAAAATACACATAGAAAAAACAATCTATCTATTGTAGTTTGTTTTTCAACTTCAAGCACCTGAAAGACTCAACTCACTCATAGCCTATTTTTTGATTTCGCGACATAACATTTTTTTTTTCACTTTCTTTGAATAGGTAGCAGAGTTTTACACACCATGATAGGAAGCTGTAGGTACAGATTCGTTCGAGAGATGTCACGTTTCACTTTCATCGTATTTTAAAATTCCTAGAATATACATATTTATCCAGAACCGGTACCTAGATGAAAAATGATTTTAGATTCATTAAATATTTCAGGCACGAGGCTATTGAAATTAAATCCCGTTCTACCTTTTCTCTCTACATTCGTAGACTATTATATGCTTCTCGTCATCTCTCGTAAGTAATTAAAACTTTTTTTTATTTATTACTTTTCTTTTATCATTTATATTTCAAATCCATCGCGTTCGGTCAGCCATGAGTAAATATAGGTAGTAGGTAATTAGTAAAAATTATTATGGGTCAAATCAAAATAAGGTTATTTTAAAATAAATAAAATATGTTGTCTTTTAAAACGAATTTATTCTACAAAATATAAATAGTAGTTACCTTATATACATTCTACCACTACGCTAAAACAATACAAAACCAGTTGCATAAGAACGCAATGACAAATTAGATAGTCCTGCTATAAATTATCCGACAAAACAATTACAAGAACGAATTGTGTATTTAAATCTTCTTAGGAGTTAAATATTATTCATTATAAACGATCAGGCGGCAAGCGTGACAACTAATGAATTAATATGCTTTCTTATAGATACTTAAATGCTGTAAATATTATATAGGCACAATCCAGTCTATTGGAGTATATAATGCTTATTTAGGCCACAGCAGGTACCTAATAAAATATTCATAACAAAAAATAAATTTTATAATATAGATAAATGTTCAGCTTCATTACACAACTCTTGTAAACTCTATTGACAATAGTAAGCATGAGAAATGGTCATTTTATTGTAACACAGTTTAAACAACATATTTTTGTGTACATCTTATACTGTGGATATACATAAGCAGGAACATACACTTACATTGTAAATTACATATCAAAGCTTTACTAAGTATATATACTTATTAGTTATTAGCCATAAAAATACTAATACTAATGTTATAATAGCTGCAACATTATCAATAAGTTGTAACACGATATTTGTATATTAACATAGATTAAATATTGTTTTGTATATATGTTTATGGATTTATTGGTGGATAATTGAAACTACTGCAAACACTTTAATAAGTTCTTTATCATAAATAGGCCCTAAACGTATAATATAGAATTTCGCTTTTGTTTTCAATAAGCCTTATCTGAAAATCATGGATTTATTACTTTAATGTATAATGTATGTATAAAGACTTACAGTGAGCAAATTATTATCATTCTAATTGTGATGTTTATGCAGTATTTTTGAAGTTATAATCGTTTTTTAGTTTTTTTTTTTTTATATAAATCTTCTGCAAATAATTACAAATGTTACTGGTAATAAATACAAGAGTAAGAGTTAATATATTTTTAAAATGCAGTTATCTGCATGTCTTGAAAAGCATTTTGCAATGAACAAATTATTAAGTTTGCTTCATTTTTCAATAACAACTGTATAAACTATAAAACAAATACTTTATGTTTGCAAATAATATAGGATGCTTTAGTTTTTATTGTTCTCAGTTATCCTACCTCATTACAACACTCACTCTCAATCTTCATTTAAACAAGTAAACAAAAATTTAACAATCCTAATACACTTTTACAAATTATTTTTAGCTTATATTACTACAAAAATGAAGTCTATAAATTATTGTTACTGTGTTACTTTTAATGTTTGTTATCTTTATAAAGCCACAATTTTTTGATGCAAATGCAATGTTTTTGTTAAATTTAAATCAAAACTTTTATTTTAATTTATACCCAATATTTCAATATTTTATCATATCTTATTTAAGGCTAATCTATATAAAAGGCTGTTCAGAAATCTCATTGTAAAATTAAAAGCTACCCATAAAATCACAATATAATCTAATTATAATTTAAGGAATACTAAACGTATTTTCTTTGTTCACATCTATAATAATTATTATTGCCTAGACATAAAACAATGTTCATATACATAAAGGACATTCAGTCTTTTACAAATAACCAATACTGGCAAGTTTGCTACACATATTTTGTACTAAGCATTCAATGTGAAATGCCTAAGTTAGGACCTTTTACTAACTAAAGAGCAACTCTACATTCTAAATGGAGTTAGTACAGACACTTCTGTTCAAATACATCACTATCTTATATTTATTATAAGTATACTTTCATAAGCTTAAACATTACCACTGTGACTAGAGAAACTATAAGTAGCTGGTGTAACACAGGTGTTCACACACACCTGAATAGATGGTTTAAATGAGGAAGGTAGAAGCTTATGTGCTTCTGGCACTGGAGAATAACTATGACACACTGCGGTTTCAAAATGTACCTGATCACTTCTGTCTGTGGGCACACCATCAAAGCTTGTCTGTTTAGCCGAGTCACCTGTTCCACTATCTTTACAAGAAGAATGTTCAGATAAATTGTCCGGGAACATGTGAGGTGTTTCACTATCACTATGAACAATTTGTGGTCATTTTCACACTTTCAGAAGGATAATTGGGTACAGCTCCAGCCATGCGTCGGCGAGTGTGGTAAATAATTACCACCCATATTATGGAAGTCCCTACTGCACAACACACAGCGGTGATTATTATAATACCAGTCATGTCTTCTTCTTTTACCATTATAGCCACAGGTGGTAACACTTTAAGCTCTATCATATCTTTTTTAGAACCAAGCTCATTCTTAATTTCACATTCATACTGTCCAGCATCATTGGGTTCTGCACCAATTATTACTAAAAGTTGATCATCTGCAGTGAAGTAGTGCCGTTCTGAAGGTATTAATGGAGTTCCATCTTTTGACCATTTCAATACAGGTTTAGGTGAGCCTGTAATCATACACTGTAAAACAACTGATTCACCACTTGTGACTTCTTTATTTTCCATAACTCTTATAAAGGATGGTTCCTGAAGCACTGTTAGAGTTGCATTAGATATAATTGTACCCGCTGGATTTTTAGCAGCGCAACTATATATTCCCATATCAGTGGTTTTTGCATTGACTATGAAGAATAGATGGTCTGTTGGCATCACATTCATTCTTCTTTCTCTTGCAGCAGGAAAATCATTCCCACCGTCTTTCTTCCAGGATATTTCTGGTGAAGGATCACCTGTCGCGGCACATTTCAATGTAACAGTTTCCCCAGTTTTTACAGTAACATTAGTTGGTGTCTTTATAAATCTTGGAAATGTAACTATATTTACTTTTGCTTGTGATGAGTAAGTGATGCCAAACTTATTACTTACTACACATTGATATTTACCTGAGTCAGCATGAGACACATCGGGTATAACTAACACAGATGTTGCATGTGGTTTTCCACTTTCTGATAAAGTCACATTTTGATAAACCATAGGATTACTCACATTACCATTATTTTTCCTCCATAGAAATGTAATGTTGCTGAATGGGTTTGATGTTGCAGAGCATACTAAATTAGCCGAACGATTTTTAATAGCTAAATGGGATTTGGGATGTTCTATTATCTTAGGTTTTGGTGAATCACCACAATTATCTTCTTTTAGTTTTGAAATAACAACACCTCTTAGTTCGGCAGGATAAACACAGGTAGCTGTTACATACTTCTGTTCAACTTTGTCTTTTATCCATTTAACCATCCAAAGCAAGTTGCAGTCACATAGTAATGATGAAGAATTTAGATATAGTTTTCTGATGTTTGCCATAGTATCAAAAGCATGTTGCTGAATTGAAGTTATGTTATTACCCCTCAAATCCAATTCAACTACATTTGATAGTCCTTCAAAAGCTCTGGAACTTATTGATTTAATATGATTTGTTGATAGATTAAATACCATCAAATTCTGCAGTTTTGAAAAAGGTCCTGACATATCCTCCACAGTCCATGATATCTTGTTGTTATTCAAATCCAAGTTCTTCAATTGAGCCATATGACTAAAAGCCTCTTGAGATATTGCAGAAATATTATTGTTGGCTAAAGTTAGTGTATTCAAATTATTCAAATGTTGAAAGGCGCGGCCTTCTATTTCCATAATATAATTGTGTGATAAATCTATTGATTCCAAGTTTGTGCATAGTTCCCAACTGCCAAAATCGATTTGAGATATTATGTTGTTTGATAAAGACAGTGATGTTAAAGATTCTAAACCGTACATCCATCCTTTAGAAATACTCTTAATTCTATTATGATCCAGTTGCAACAGATTGACAGATTTAAACCCAAAAAAGGCACCATCCATAATATTTTCTATATTGTTATATTTAATTTTAAGTGTTGTTAAACTTGAAAGTCCTTGAAATAAAAGGCCATCAATAACACGTAATCTGTTGTGGTTCAATTCCAATACCTTCAATGCAGTCTGATGCATAAACAAATGGTTAGGTAGTGATACAAGCTCATTTTTGTTCAGTCTTAGAGTAACCAAATTCGTAAGATTGTTAAGAGCTTTTGGTTCAATGACTCTTATGTGATTGCTGTTTAAACTTAGAACTGTGACAGAACTATTCACTGAAAAATGTCCAACATCTATAGCTCCAATATTATTTCTGTTCAAACTAATTTCAAGGATCTGATTTTTGTGTAAAAAGTTAGGAATACGAGCTATGGAGTTCTTATTCAATTTTAAAATTTTCAAAAGTGGTAAGTCATTAAAGCCTTCAATTACATCTTCGGTTAATTTATTATAACTTAGGTCTAATTGTTCCACCCACTTCGGAATTCTTGGCACTGAAGCTAAATTTTTTTTTGAACAGTCAATGTATTCTTTTAAGCAATCACATTTCTTCGGACATTCATAATTTTCATTCTGACTTGATATTCGTATCAAGTATAAAATAGTCACAATAGTGAATAAAACGGAGTATCCCATTTTTATTATTCATTTGTCTAAGTTCTGAAATCATTGAGCACAAACGATCTGCATCTTTGTTCTTACATAATTATAAAGATAGTAATAGCAAAGAACAGTGAGCCTTTAGATCAATTTAAATCACTTAACTGTTTATTACATTTTGTCATCACCGATAAACAGCAATAATAAAAACAACACTGATTTTTATTTCTGGTAAAGACTCGACCGCCATTTTGTCTAATCAATCTTTTTATTGTCTATTGCCATACGGTTGTAGTTCAATATATATAAAATTATCTATGCCCAATTTGAATTAGTATAAGTTTTATAAATATTCGATATGTGTAACAATAATTCAAACATTAATTTGATATTGCTAGGTAATTGTGAAAAAAAAAACAAAATGTTGTTTGAGGTATTAATTGTCTACATGATTGGAAACTGTTGCAAACAGCCGTCTTTCTGTTTACGTTCTACTTTTAAATGCGATAAAACTGTTGTTTTGCTACATAATAAAATTTTAATTTTCTGATTTAAAACAGTTAAGACTTCAGTATTGGACATAACACATGTTAAATCCTAATCTGTTACATAGTACTTTCTTAACAACACTACATTAATAGTACTTTTTATTTTAGCTTTGTAAATTGTAGGCTGTGGTTTTCCATAAAAGTGTATCTAGTTAAAGACAGGTTTTTATTTATAGTGTCATGTGGAAGGAAATAATTTTTTAAAGATGATTATTAGGAATTTGTAAAATCAGGACCATAGATTCTAAATACGATAATTATAATTTTACCGAGACAGAGTGAAATATGTATTTATGGGCAGTTTACACTTTACAGTATCAATTTAGAATTTAACAGGCTGGAAAAGACTTCTTATTCATGTATAAGTATGAAAACTTAAAGATTAAGTGAAAAAATAATAAAAGCCTTCCAAAAAAAAACAACGCTATATTAATGTTTGTATCATAAAATTTGAAAAAGTTCCGTAGCGGTAGGAAGTTTAACTGATGTTTAAAAATTACTAAACAGAACAAAAACATTTTTATAGGACTTAGAGATATTATTAATAATAGAAAAAAATATACTATTTTGAAAATCTGCATGGAAATTCATTGACAATTTCTTGTGATGCTTTTGCACTATTTTTATTATATACTCATTTCGCATTATTTTTATTTTATATTCACTTGTTGCCGTCAAATAAAATAAGCTTAATAATTAAGATATTACTGACAGGGTAGATTTGCAAAATTATTATTTCTAGGCATTATCCATAGTTTTGTTTCATTTGGATGTAAAAATAGATTTTTTAGTGTATATGGTTATTAATATTATAAATAAAGACAGGCATATTGGGTTCTCAAAATACGCAACGTAAGACGAGACATTTTTTTTATGTTTGCATACACATAAAATATTTCATACATATAAAAACTCAATGGTTACGATCCACATAGACTCAAAGTAAAAAACAATTTATTATCCAAATGTAAGTTCTAACAATAAATCTACATGTACATCATCAAAACTGCTTGTTATTTTTGGTATTTGTTTGTTATTAATTTTAAAAATATTATAATAAAATTTTAATGTGTTATCAAAATATGTAAATAGGTGCAATAAAATAAAATGTTGCTTTAATGAAACTATTAATTCTAGTTTGATTTGCCTTTCTTCTTGCTATCATAAAGGTCTTGGCAACAATAATATGCTGTTCAAATTTTGGTACAAGCATTTTTTAAAACTTCTCACAAAATAAGGATCATTTTCTTCAAAATTACTTGTGGCATTTAATAAATTTGCAAAAACAACCAAGAGCTTTGTATATTACGGAGTGTCAAGACATTGTTCGACATAACTAGAAACGATATTAGTCGGTGACAGTTTCATAATGAAAGGAGGGTATAAGAAAATGAGCATAGGCCACAGGGTCACATACTCACTATTCTATCATCATACAATTTTGAAAGGCGATACATATATCTTCTGGTAGAACAAATTTTCAGAAGAAGTATGATTTTCAAAGTACTGATAAGTCATAACTGCCATATATTTATATTCTACAACTAAGTCTAATTCATGGATTTATAACTGAATAAAGTACTCTATAACAGTTGTAAAGATATTGTCTAAGAGGTAAAAAAAGATATTATTTTATTGGGTTTTGAATTGGAAGTTTTTGTTAATACATTGTAATTAAGTAGTATTTAATAATTTCTTAAAGCACTTGTTTTTTAAGGAGAACTTTATATTATGTACTTACACGCTTCAAATATGGAATGAAATTGATGCTTTGAAAAAGTACTAAGAAACTGAGATCACATAAACTTCCGTTAGTAAATATAGGCAGTTAGGTATTTACAAAATTGTTTACTTTGAATAATGAAATTGAGAAACTTATTCACAATAGTGCTTTTCAATATAATTATGTGTTATACATACTTACATTGTAGGCCATTGTTCTTAACACCTGGAATGAAGAAACAATTTACAAATTATTACCAAAAATAAAGATGCTGAATTGTTATCCTCATGTTTAACTCCCATGTCAGATATATATTTGTAAGACTGCTAAAGTTATTCCCATTTTCTTTGAAACCCATTTGTCCTTCAATATTTGTTAATTAAGTAAAAAATAAGTTCTGTATTGGCAAGAAAAGTAGCTACTTTGGTTGTGCCTAGTAATCCTATGATACAATATTTATATGAATGTAGGCGTGATTGTTACCTTATTTTACGAATAGTTGATGCTGGAACAATAAAAATTAGGTGATGATATATTTTATGGTTAATACAATTAGTGTTTGTTATTCCACTACTTTCATAACTTTTGACAATTGGTACTTGACTTTGACATAATTTTTTTGTGATTTCCCATCATTTCACAGATAAAGAGGGAAAATATAAATAATAAATAAATATCAAAAATTTTTGTTGTGAATGAAACCATAGGTAAAATTAAATTAAAAAAAATATTGTGTGCAAAACCCTACCGCTTGTGAAAGTATATTAAAAACAAGTTAGTTATTATAAATCCATCGCTAAGACATTAAGAAAAATTATCCTTTACTTACTATGGATACATTCGTCAAGATTTTCTTGTCTGCACAAGTTTTATTTTTCTTTATTGTGTTATAAAACGTCTTTGCAAATGTGGTTTTAATTATGGGGTACCTATCCCTTATAAAAATAATTATAACGATTCCGAAATTTTCTGCTGTCACGTCATGATTCACGTCAAACACGTCATGTGAATGACAAAGATTAGTGTATTGATATTTCTTACTGTGTCTAATATTTTTCATTTAGAGATCCTAGAATCTATACTTAAGAACAGTCCAACAGGCCCTAATAAACATTTTGCATAACTTTATATGGATAGTTATATTATTTAGTGCTAAACAATGGAGGCTTATGAAAGTGTGTTACTTGTGAAAAATGAAGTCTTTGTTTTTAAAATACCCCCGAGAACGTCTAACAGAGGATATAGGTAAATTTTTGCTTCCAATACAATATGATGTAATTATAAACAATTTTATATTCAAGTTTTGTATTAGGGCAGCTGATTGGAACTTACAAGAGCCACAATGGACGGGGCGTATGCGGCTGGTTGCGAAAGGCGATGATTTAATTATGAAGCTAGAAGATAAGACAAGCGGTGAATTGTTTGCAAAATGCCCCATCGATAAATATCCGGGGGTGGCACTTGAGGCTGTTACAGACAGTTCAAGATATTTTGTTGTCAAAATACAGGATGATAATGGTATTTACAAACTGGATTTTTTGATTTTATCTTATTTTACTTTCTATTATGTTATCATTAAAAGAATTATTTTTCCATCGTGAATTATTATCTCAATTTCAGGTCGCAGTGCCTATATAGGTCTTGGATTTGGAGATAGATCAGATTCTTTTGACTTGAATGTTGCATTGCAAGACCACTTTAAGTGGTTGCGGAAGGAACAAGAAGGTGAAGGAACTGCAGACCAGCAACAGATGGATTTCAGTTTTAAAGAAGGAGAAACAATAAAGATTAACATGAAAATTACTGTAAGAGCCTAACTTTTTGTTGTCTTAATCTGATTTTAGACATTATTCTCTAAATAAATATTGCTGATAATTTTTTTCAGTTATGAATGGTCTAATCAGTATATTATCAACTGTTTAATGCCTGGGTGTGCCTTAAAAAAAACTAGTATTTTCTAGTACATTTACAATGTTATTAGAGAATATTTTAATTTCAATTTCAGAAGAAAGATGGCAGTGAGGCTAGCCGTCCTCGTCGAGCTGGGGGTGCTAATGTTGGTGGGCTCCTACCTCCACCACCAGGAGGGTCCAAGCTTCCACCTCCACCCTCTCCGCAGCATGTGCCAACACCAGCTGGGACCCCAGCTGTGCCTAATACCGAATGGGGTGACTTCAACTCGGCTAGGTAACTTTATACTTTAGCCAAACAAATAAAAAACACAGTAATATGGGGCCGTTTAAGTATTACGTAAGCAGATTTGTTACAATTATTCCCCATCCCCCTTGTCAGCAAAAGTAAGCAAAGCTCTTACCCCCTCCCTCCATGTTTACATAAACATTTTCAATTACTGTTTTGTTTTTTATATAAATCCAGAAAAAATTATAATTATGTTTTTTTATGGATCTTCTCGATGTGATGATTAAAAAGTAAATAACTACCAATGACATAATCATCATCTAGACTCCTCTACCCCCCATTTCATCCAAAATAATCAAAGCAATGACCCCCCCATCCCTCCATAGTGCTTATGTAATACTTGAACGGCCCCCTATTGTAAAGATTCATTCACTACTTTTTCAACCAATACTTGCTGTTTTATGTGAATAATTTAAGGAACGAATTATTTTGTGGTAAACTTGTTATTATATAAAGAAGAAACCTCTTAGCATTCAATGGATTCACCACGTGGGTGCCAGGTGCATTGCCTTGCAGGTAGAGGAGCTTCAACACTGCCTAGGAGTGGCGACCCAGGTGTAGGTCTAGGCCCCTATCTAACTCGCATTAAACACTCACCTCCACCGTACAAACTTCTCTCCGTACATAACTAAATTTCAAAAGAACCTACTAGGGTTGCCTTTTAAGTACATTCCAAGAATGAATTGATATTAGTTCTGGACATGTCCAAGTCTTATTAGGTTGAAGAGAGATTTCGATATAAAAGCATATCACTCTTGTTGTAACATAGTTATATAATTTTGTTGTTTCATTCCATAACATTATGTTTCATTCCAGTGCTCCAGCTCAACAACCAAAGCCAACAACTCCAGCCAACCAGCAAAACTGGGTGCAGTTCTAAATAAAATAATTTAATTGTACCTGCAAGATGCAGATAGTGCATTGCACAATACTTATGAATCTTACTTAAATTATTTACATATCCATTGATTGTTTGTATATATGCCGGTATGCCTCTCTATTACATGATTTTAATTTAATGTTTTGTGTATTTCGGCACTTATTAATGAATACAACTCAATTTTGTCATGTTATAGATAAAAGTTTGTTAGGCTATGCAAAGTATTTTCATAAATTCGATAAAGAGACATTATTTATTTAGTTTTGTGCCACACAGTTCTTTTTTTTCTATTTAATGCTTCTTACTACATATAATCGTAATCATTAACATATGTTTTTAAGACTATATTAACATTCCTTCATTGTTCTTTTAAGGGCAAACAAAATTTGTTGTATACTTCTTTTGTTATTTATTCATGTTGAAATTATTATTATTTTTTCATTTATCTTAAATTTAAGCTGTGGTCTTTTTTGTTGAATACATAAATTATTTTATCATTCAACACATGTGTCTTTAGTAGACATTCAGGTACATCTGTTTACAAATCGAAATTGGAAGTTTCTAATAAATAATATATAGTTATTGTTAATTAGATTTGGCTATACATCTAATTGTTATGAATGTTAGTATAATATGCATGTCATAGACAGGCTTTATGTATATAGCATGTGATAGCTGTGTACAAATGTTTTATTAATAGATCTGTTCTAGCATTCTGTTTGAAATGTATGTACAAATGTAATAAAGGATAGCAGCTATTTGTTGTTTTATTGATAATTAGTCTACAAGTTTTTACCTTTTCTATTAACAGTAACTACCTTTCGTTATAAACTTTCAAAAATAATATTACGAATCCTAAGTACTTACTACACGAACCTAGTGCTCTCATTGACTTGACCTGTTCATAGTTCATTGATTAAAGAGGTATCTCAAAAATGTAAATCTATATGACTGTAACTTAAATCACATATATGTCTACTGTTAGTAATTGCAAACCCTTATGGAAAAGCTAGCTGCTAAACAATCGACAATCAGTCGCCGTAGGTCACTGCTGTTTCGGGACAACGCTAGACTAAACTTTACAACAGGCAGCTACCAAATTAGGAGAGCTTTAATGGGAATGTCTAAACTCTAAGATACGGGAGCTAGCTACACGGTTTTGAGAGAACATTTTAGGTAGGCTGGGTTTTAGATATGACATCCGGAAGTGAGGTTTAGCGTATCTAAAAATGACTAACCTGAGATACTTGTTTTCCTGACATTCCCGTACTATATCCACCATGGGAAAAATTTTAACCCCGATGGGCCAGTCTAGGGATTTTATTGATTCCCGTCCGAATGGTATGTTTTAGTAAAGAGATAGTGAATCACTTATGAGATGGCAAAAGGCAAAATATCAATGGTAAATACTTTGGTTAAATAAATATGACATTTAAAAAAAAATCGATGTCAGATTATTCTCTTACAAAATGACAATTTCATATGTTAGGATCTAATATAAAAATATTTCAAGAATCCACAACCGATTAAAGGCCCGACGGAAGAACTTGGTGCTGACCCGCCACTTTGCTAATCAGACACGAAATAAGTCCTCCATAGAAACTATTTAAGATGCTTATAGACTACAATCGTTCTTTAAAACTATATAATTTAATAAAAAAAGCACTGAGAGTTAACAATTCCAAAAAATGGCTATACCAGATTAGGGTTACTAATACTATACCTAATTTTTCTTATATTTAAAATATATCTTTATTAAGCAATTGTTTCATGAATAAAACCAAAAAGTTCAGCAACAGAGCTCAAAGCACGTCTCCTTAAACCGATTTTCTTTTAGATTGAAACCAACTAATGTTTCAAGTTTACAACTAAAAATTACTTACAAAAACATTCAACATAATAGTACATATATAACAGGTGCCTAAACCGTGCATTGTTCGTTTTGCATTGTCCGTTTTGCAAATCGATAGGGAGACACAACCTAACAGAGATTCAGAGGTGGGGTATTTTACATGGGACTAGAGTATGTTACAAAGGACACAACTTAAAGTGCGAATGTTCCTTTGTGAATAGCATCACCGTTATATTCTGCAAGTCTTAAATTATGCCAAGTTTTCTTAGAGTAGCTGTCAAATAATACACTTTTTTACAGCTTTGTAACAGATGATTTTCAAAGAAGAAGTGTGCTGCTTGTCACCGATATTACATTTTGTAACACGTTTTTTTTGTCTATATCATGAGTAGCCAATTTGTTTCCTATGTATAAATTTATTAACTGTATACAGAAACAGTCAAATCCACTTACGGGACTTTCAATATATATCTACTTTTACAAATTTTCTAAGCTATTGCGAAGATAGATAGATAGTGAATTGAGGAATCGTAAAATCCTGTGCCGTTTCTTGTAGCAATCGATATTCAATCCCTGTTCGTTTTATTAACTACTTGCGGAAATCAAAGCGAATGTGTAGCCTAATAGTAATGATTTATGAAGACTTTTGTCTCTATCTCCTGTATCAAGAGAGATGTTTAAATAGAAAGTATAATGACTTTACTCACTTAAACTTAATTTTTCTTAAAAAAGTAATATAATAGAGGTTTTCTTAAATATAAAAACTTAAGTACTTAGGGTCTTACATTTTAAGTAGTAGCCTCTCTCATTTTTCCGTAATAAGAACCTTCATCAAATATATTTGTAGTGGTTTATTTTCTGCTTTATGTTTGAAAAGCATAATATTATTCATGGATGTGGGTTAAGAAGTCGTTTTCACTTGAGTAATCATTAAAGGAGGGCTTTGTTACTGAGGTTCGTTGAATTGTAAAAGCCTAATGCTTTCCTTTAATATAATATCTACAAATAGAAAGTAGAAATATTATAATTCCTTAAAAGATGATTTGGTTAAATATTGCTCATTCGTGGAACCTAAAAGGTACTATAGTAATAAGAAATCTGTTTTTTTTCAACAACATTGATCCTTTAATTATTTCTTTACAAAGTAGCACTCGAAATAATTAATGTGTTTCCTGTTTTACACATCTTATTTTTATTTGCACTTTGAATTATACACAGTTATACGCTACAATAGATAATGTTAACGCATTTTATTGGTAATTTCGAAAATTGTTATCTTACTTTCTTTGTTGCCGAGACACTTTCAACAATCGTAGGCCTACCTATAGTCTTTAGGTTGGAGAATATAAAGTGTTGACATAGTTAATAAGTGATTTTATCTAGAAGAATTATAGTATAGCAGTGTTTGCTAAAAGTGGAATTGTTTTAAATTATTATGTATATACAGTATTGTTTAGCTGAATTGTAGTCCGTGTGCCGTAAACTTAATTTTATACTGACGTTTTTACCCTGTTACTGTCTTCTCGTACTTTACATACTTTTTTTATTATATATCGGACAAAATATAGTTTGGAGTTTTATTGTTGATAGCTATTAATAATTGATTGATCAATGAATTAAATTAGAAACAATCATTTCAGTATATGTATGTATAAAACGGGTTTTAAGAATCTAAGCTCTTGTACTATGTAAAACAATTAATTAATTATTAATGACATCTAATCGCTGGTAAGTAATTTTGGAATTTGGATGATATTTGTCTATTTTAGATCAATATTGAATTTTATTTCAAACCTTCATTGATGAGTTTTAGGTATTGTTTAAAAGAATTATTAAATATTTTTTTTAAGTTTACATCTTTTTCTTTGTGTGAATGTGTTTTTATTTTTTATATTAACGTATCCATACTTGAATATTGTGTCGAAAGTTAGTAGGTGATATATATGATTTAAATGTAATTTGTTGTTCGTGACTATGTTTTAGTTATTATTAGGTTACTGAAGTGCCAAGTTTGGGGTCTGAAACTTCTGATATGTGTTGTTATGAACATTCGGTTTTACATATACCAGCTAGACCCTTATTAATGACATATTTCATTATAACTATGCCTGATACAATATATTTTTTTTTATTCAGTATTAGTAGATATAAAAAAGAAATGTTTAATAATATTTTATAATTTATATAGATAATGTTAGATATGGTCTTTCGTACTTTTTTATATGCCATAGCCCATAAAATCGTAACATCTATATTAATATTTTAAACCAATACACAGTGTGTTGGTTTTATATATTAATATAAAACCATAAAATGTATATAAAGCTTAATCGATGTACTATATATTGGATGCCGTACAATCCTTTAAAGCTAAAGGCTAATTACGAGGAGATGCATGCACTTATCTTTGGGGAACTTCTCTGCCAAACTGAATCATTGTTTTAGAGATTCCAAATTATCATGGTATTTTAAGCAGACTTTGCTCTCTAATATGTATCATAAATCATAATCCAGTGGCTTAAGATCAGAACAAAACCGCTAGTTTTCAGCTCTGATGAAGTGCGACCATTTGTTTCTTATCAAGATTGGGTGGATCCAGTTTTATGGGTCGGCACCGAATCTCATTGGAAGGTATTGAACATGGTGTCGTTATGGGGCTTAGCTGCGTTCTTAAGAACAGTGTCTTGAAGAACTTGTGCTAACATTTTGATACCCTTTTCGAAAAAATATTATTCACTTACTGTTTTATAATTAATTGATACCAAACCCACACTGCTCGCGTTGAACGATCTTGAATAGTGGGTAAGTTACCGTAAAGATTTCAAAACAAATTTATATTATTATTATTTTTTTTATGTATTTTTGATCCGAAAACAATTTTTCTGTAACCTCACTTTGCGTAGTATTTAAGTGTTATATTTAATTTTATTAAATGGCTAGTGCGTCTCTATAGGTCGCAAGATTCAGTCCTACTCATATTTTAAGATACGCGAGGTTCTACGTTCATCTTCCGAGATAAAAGCATTTGCTTTCCTCCAGGATTTCTTCGACTTCTTTCCCTTACTGCTTTGATCGTCATTTTTCTACGAGAATTATGTGAACTATCAGATTTTATAAACATTTTTAATAATTTGGTTAAATGTTACTG